CCCATAGCTCCATTCAATCAAAAGTTACGGGCGTTTTAAGAATGGACCCATCCCCATAGACTTAACATTGATTCAAACGCCAATGATTTTTTTCTCGAATGGCGGGTGATTTGAAATGCCATCGCGAGGCGCGCATTGGGGGAACCGAAAGGCATGGATACCCGACCGACTTTCACAGCGGAGATGCTTGATGCTCGTGTATTCCGCCATGTTGAAAATAGAGAAACATATGCGATGCCTCCGAGTCACCCCGCGAGGACGCATCTTCAATCTCTGGAAGACCGCTCAAACATTCGCCTCGAACCACCTGTCATCGGGACGGAATCATCCGAAATGGATTGAGCCGTCTTCAGAAGTCAGCCGATCTCGGATTCTAATATCTAACTACATCCGGGTCTCATTGGACCCCGGTTTGCGAAACAGTAAGGAGTTGAGAATCAGAGCGGCTTTCTTTATATGGAGAGAGAGGGGTGTCCATCAAAGAACAAAAACTTGCGGACATTCAGAGCCTCCGCAAGTACATCCCAGAGCCATACCAGGAGTTCTACGATGAACTCGCATCCAGAGCCGACCTGGACTTGGGTGATGATTCGGAGTATGATTCCGAGGGCGAAATGAATAAACTTCAGTTTTCCTCATTGGCTGGTGCGTTTTTTTTCTCATTCAATCCATTCTCACCTTCAGTATATTCTCCTATAGCAGATCGGAGGTCGGGATTCTTAAAACGCCCGTAACTTTTGATTGAATGGAGCTATAGGGTCGTGCGGCGCCTCGTTGAAAAGCTGGGGACCTGGGCTTCATCTTGAAGAAAAAAAACAGCCTCCTACGATGATCCTGGACGTTTCTACAATGTTTTTGAGGGAAGGGAAAAACCCGTTCTGGAAAATTCCGTGTCAATGTTAAGTCTATGGGGAGTGGTCCATTCTTGAAACGCCCGTAACTTTTGATTGAATGGAGCTATAGGGTCGTGCGGCGCCTCGTTGGAAAGCTGGGGACCTGGGCTACATTTTGAAAGAAAAAACAGCCTCCTACGATGATCCTGGACGTTTTTACGGCGAGATAAAGATTCCTGAGTTTTGAAAAAAGTTTATTTTCAAAACATCGTAACTCCAAAGACTCATTTCTCCGCGTGTAGCCACAGAAGGAGAGGGAGGGCGGTGTTATATCTTTTTTCTGAAAGCTCTCACCAAGAGCTTTCGAAAATGGCCCCACAAGCCAGGATCGGTATCCTGTGGGATAAACTACAGGGGGAAGATTGTTTTTGGGTGTTTCTCCAGAGTGGAGTTACGATGTTTCGAAAATAAACGATTCAATTATTATCGTTCCTTATATGTATCATAGCTCTTTGTATGAAAGCTCTACTTTTTATGAAGTTGATGTTGACTGGCGATTGGAACCCGTCATCTGCCTACAGGATCTTGAACGATACCTACAATGGTAGCATACCGTCCTCGGTGAGTCGTCTGGAACCGCGCGCCCGCCAACCAGTTGAGCATTCCTCCAGCTACAGGACGAGATTCGGTAATCCATTTAAAACGGTATTCCACGATCAGACATGGTATGCTTCCATGGGAAGATCAGAACAGGTCGCCCGACTAGCCCTCGTGAGAGAGACCAGGAGAGGCGAAGAATGAAGGAATCTCGACTTTCCTCCACTCTGTACTCACAAAGGGGGGGGGGGCTTCCTTCTCCTCTCAATCGAGGCCCTGTATAAGTACGCAGCTATGAGCTGGGATTATCATTGAATACGAACGGCGCCGGCTCTCCGTTCACAAAACGAAGAGCTGCCTCGGCACAATCGCGTGTGAGGCTCGAAACGTGCGAGCTCTTTCTTTCATCGTGCTTCGGGAAAACTGGGCTTAACTCTTCTGCAAGCGTGCGCGCGGTGAACTGGCAAAGCGGACGAACAGCATGCGTGATGTCTTGCAACTGGTCTACTCACCATCACTGTCCGAACCGACCACGCAAACTCCTCGTTGCGAGTCTGGGCGTTCGCGCTGCTCCATGTAAGGTGTCGGTGCTGTGGATATTCGAAGGAACGAAACTGGCTGATCGATGGAACTGAAGGAACAAAACCACAGCGAGGATCAGAGAGCAATCAGATTAGGGTTTATTATCCGAAGAATAGTCGATCCTCAACGAGATGACGGTCTGCTGTCCGAGCATGGTGATTTCCACATTCCCTACTCATACCATAGAATGGCTCGCCTCGATAGAACAGGACTCATAAAAACAATCTCCCAAAATTCGGAATCGGATCGGCATGCTCAGTGAGACCTTCTATGGGATGATCCTCAGCCGCTCCTGCATCTCTTAGTTTTTCTCATTCTCGACAAACAGCGGGTAATATTTCAATTATTACTCTCACAATCGGAGAAGACAAGCATGAACAGCATTCCGTTCTGCTAGGAGATGCCTATCCGTCGGGCGATAAATCTATCGAAAAAAAAAGCATACCCTAAACCCTCTATAGAGACGCTCCATAGAACGAGGCCTGAAGGGAACACCGAGAAAAATATCAGCATGCCGTAGTGTCAGAATAATGACGGTCTGTGCATCCATAAATCCGTAGAGCATTAACCGAGAATATCTGCCCTCTTCCGTCTCTTGTCTCATGGGTTTACCGCCCCAGACGACCCCATCTCGTTTCTTCCGTGTCCCTGCGACCAGTCTTATTTTCCGGCAAGGGGATCCCCCGCGGCGCAAGGCATCGCGAGAAACCTCCGAATTCCGCTAACCATCGCGGAATTCTCCTGGCGATTCCCTCCTCATATTGCCGCGAGATCTTTGCTCCCTCCCCGACTCCCCCTAGGTATCTCCCTTTTCCCACCCCCTGTCTCTCTCGCTACCCCTTGCACGGTTTCTTCCGTTCGTCATTCGCACCCGATGCGCATCGGATGAAGGCGACTGGACTCCAAGACCTCCTCGAAGGTCCTCACGAGACTGTGCTGAGTTCCGCGAATTTACGGAGCCTTTCGGAACATTCACCTTCGTGTTCGGGAAACATTTTAATTCCTTCTCCTATACCTGTATTCTGTATCTTTCGTTCTTTGGATCGTTCCCCGGTCTTCTTGCCTCGGATGCGAACGGCTAGCCTGTAAACGACAACCTCTGATTCGGCCTTGCTGGGTGTCCCCGGAAGCCGTGCCCGGAGCTGCAGGCAAACGAGCCCGTCATAAGCTCGAAGAGACATACACAGGGCGGGCAGATTAGCGGAAATGCGTGCTTGAGCGCATCGGGAATCCGAGAAAAAGCGGGCGGAATATTCTCATCTAATTCAGAAGACGCTGATTCGGTCAGGGAAGATCATCCTCTAAGATTTGAGCCTGTGCTTGTCGGGATGCAACTCGTGACTACCTGGCCTGTTATGAGCGCGACTCATTCGAACGACAGGTATACTCCTCTCAATCAGAACCAATGATGAACGGCGCTTTGATGCTCCATCCCCAGCTGCTTCTCGATCGATGGAAGAACCTTCTTACTAGACGGTTTTTAGCGCCGAAACTCCGCAGCGTGCTATGCCCGAACCTGGAGTGTGTACATGTTCCACATACGAAGTCGAGATATCGAATCGATGATCAGTAAGAAGCTCGAGCTGCGGGTAGGTAGATTGATTTTGGAATGATAGACGATGCAAGGAAATTCCATCAGGGTAGAACAAAGGCTGCCTGGGGCTCCGTGATTTTTTCTGATCGGAATTATGAAAACAATCGTCAACCCCGTATAGAAACGAGGCGAGGTTCATGGGGTTACTGCTTCCGAAAATGGTAGGGCGGATCCCGACATAAGCCCTATCGTAGGCTAGGACTCGTTGACTCGTTCGGAATGCATCAGTCTTAATCTCTGCGTACCCCCGCCTTGCTCAATAGACGGACGGCCGTAGCGCGAGCTGCCAAGAGACATTAGACATCACTCATCGATAAAGCTATCTATGCCAGCATCCATCGACGGACGAACAACGATTAGTTTACGACTCATGCATGATCAAGCCATCATCTCTTTGTTCTCCCATCATCAGAACGCTCCCTGCGCACTTCCATCCAAATTCCAGGCTCGGATTCAAATCTCGAGCTCTCTCTGTCGGTCTTCATGAGGATCAACACGAGAACGAAAGAGTAAGAGGAATGAGCGATTTATTCTTGGAAATATCGGATGACGAATGCGAAATCATGATTCTGATTTCACCTGCCTCGAATCTCCTTGTCTGAGGCCGGAACCTCACCTGAAGATACTTATCACAAAGAAGTTACAGCGTCATGGATTCGGAATAATAGGTCTCGCACGGAGAAGAATGCAACAATCGTTCCCTTCTTTCACATCGCTCTGAACAAACAGAATGCTTCGGGTCTCTCTTTCGGCAATTAAAAAGACAACAGAATCAATGGATGGCACCAAAAATACAATATATGACATAACTCTCGGGAATGCAATTTCATTTTCCGTCTGTTTAGGAAATCTCTTAGCGTCCACAGTTATTCTCGCGGGACGGGTCAACAAGTCACCGATTAAGTAGCATTGGAGAAATTTCTCGCGATCCGTGGTGGCACTTCGTGAACGATAACTCACATAATATCTAAAGATGTATGTACACAGTATAAAGTTATCATCAAGTCACATACATACGGAAAACGGGGACAGGTTAAGGGAACACACAATTCACGTCCGAGGAGAACAATGGCTGCGGGAAGGTTCCGCTGCAGTGGACGAAGCGAAGCAGAGTTCTATGTAGATGGGAAGCCTCATAGACCGAGTCGGGCGGACCTCTGGAAGAAGGGCTCCCCTCCGTTAGATTGTCGCTCCCCAGATTTTTTCCGCTAACAGATGGATCCGAATAGGACCTGCAGCCTAATGCGAAGTTGCTTGAAGGCGAAGCTTAGTGTTCTCGTTAGTGACTTTTTTATCGGGAGGACGTACTCACCGGGTGTCATGAACTCCCCCCTTCACTTCAGCGTCACGTTGCAATTCACCTTAGTTGACATACTTTGGTCTGGTATGAAAATATTCTTGATCCATTCGCTGCCTCTGTAATCGGCGGCAGCGACGGGAGACGCTGATGGAGAGCTCGTCGACTGTATACTGTTATTGTTCTTGGGAGAATTATTGAGGACAGCTGACGGAGCAGAGGGCGCCATGTCTCCATCAAGAGTCTTGCTGTGCGGCTCCTTCTTGAGGGTTCGCTTCCATGTTTTCCGGGACCAAAAGAGGCTCCTCATCTTTCTAATGAGAGGAATATGGCGAGATGTCACGATAACTGGTCCACCCAGGTCAGCTTGACATTTTGCCTCCTTATCTCTCGACAGGTCTGGTGCTTGCTGAGGGTCAACAATGGTCAGATATTGAACGCTTGTGGAGCGGCTCGGCCGGTGATTCCCTCCATCGGAATATCGGTTCAGTCGGAAGCCGCAATTTATTCATTTACGTGGGCACTCGAGTTCCGAACACTCTCTCGAGACCGGTTATAGAGAATATCGCGCTCCGATTTTTACGCTGCTCCCGAACACAAAACGCCTTCACGTGGACGATGAAGTTAAGACGAACAGTACACCACTGACCTTTGTTGTTCCCCTCAACTCGCACACGACCCAACAATCGAGTACATGGGTGAGTACCCGTGCGAAGAACATGGACTTCGTGAGTTAGCACAAACATTTCCAAAGATTTAAATGATCCTTCCTAATTTCAACACCATCGATATAGAACAAGGATTTGCTCTGATTCTGACGTGATGACGGAAAACTTCAGATGCCTCCCCGAGCTACTTACGTTTAGGTTGCGGAGATAGACAAGGAAAATGTGAACGAGGGTACCCAGAGCCACGAGACCTCCACAGGCGATCATGGAGGCATAAGCCAGAGTCGCATACAAATACGGCTGGTCTATGAGTCCATGCAGGTGGTTTGCGAATTCGGGAGTTTGCGAGATATCCTGTTGTTTGCCCAGAAAAGGAAACCATGACACTGAATTAGAGCTCAATCGTTTCATGACAGAGGACGTGAGAATTCGAACCCATCGGACATCGAGGTGTCCGGCGACCCTCGATCGCATGACCCGACCAATTCCTCGACCCACCATTTCTTGCCAGAAAATCGGTAGAACGATCTCGGGAATATTCCGGAAAGCACTGAGGAGGTCGACGCGGGTCAATTTGATGTTGATCTGTGCTCTCGCAGCCAGCCCCAACGCTATGCCCATCCGCTGCAGAAAAAACGGAATGTGAGTCGGGGATCCTCTTGATCCTCGCAGGGAGAGCGAAACCGGGTTCAGGATCGCTGTGACTTTCAGATCAGAGAGATCTTATCATTGATATATTGATTCCCATTCCCGTCCCGAACACTCACCGGCTCTATGTCGATGGAAAACTGATGCTTGGCTCTGTCAGGCGAGAGGCCGTCAACCGCTTCGAGATAAGCCGGGTCCGCGGCATAAAAATGGGGGTATGAGAGCACCAGAGGAATTCCAAACTGACACCGCGAAATGTCCATACCGCCCGAAGGCAGTTTGTAGCGGCTTGTTTCGAAACAAGCGTGGTCGGGATTTTTGCTCGAGTTGTAGAGAACTTCGGGCCCAGCCACGAAACGCTGCAGCGGTAATCCATAACTCGAAACCGGCTGAGAATCTCGTGACAGCTTCCACGGTTTGCAGAAGTTGGGGTTGAAAAAGTAAATATGACTGTCTTCATTCCTGATCGGATGGATCAGCTCCCCATCTGGAAAATACGGTGCTCGTCTCAACTGCCTTAATGATACCGAATACCTTTCCCTCGCGGATGGAATTTTTTTCTCTCCCTTTTCACCGAGAGAAAAGAATGAAAATTCCGGCAAGGGAGGGGTGCTCCGGGTATTCTTCTCGGGTCCAAGAGCGATGACGCAACCTGGAGTGATTCGAAAACTCACTTGTGCCTTTGATATCGGCGCACGGCGTGTCGGGATTCCACCAGGGGAGTTTTTGGCGGCCATTCCACCTATCGATCTGGTTGAAGCGATCGATGTTTTCCGATCCACTGAAGACATTGAAGAGTCCCTCATCTGTGTCGTTTTTGCCCGACATGTAAGCAAAACGACCTTTCTTGACCGGGATATTCTTATTCATGATGTGCGACAGTTCCGCAAGAACATCGGGATACCTGTCGGGGCAGTCTGAGAGTTTACTTGAAAGCAAACGTGGCGTGGTAGGCGTCGTTCGGCTGTCATGAAGAGTGCTAATGATCGAGCTAAAGGGATATTCGGAAGACATCGGACTCACCCTTCATATGTGAGCTGTCTAACCGAGCGACGGATGAAAAGACTCTCATTCAGAGCATTCACGACGATTGCAATGGCTAATTTCATCACAGGTGAAGCGTTTTTGACTCTCTGGCTCGCAGCCTGAGCGTAAACAAAGCAATCTCAGATTATTCGTGGCTTACTTAATGCCTCATGTTTCTCGGGGCACATACATAGCGGTGATGAGCGATTCCCGATGAGCGCCCGGGACGGCCGCTCAAAAACTCTTGAAACGGAGGAGATGAATCAATATCGATGTATCTATTGATGGAACTCACAACAAGGGGAGTATTGATTGTCACGATCCTATCATCTTGATCACCGACGGAATGTTCTCGGTCGAACCAGTACGTTTTCTTCTCTCTGTATTGTAAGGTACCGTTCGGGTTCCATTCGACGTTCTCCTTGACCCATTCGCCTCTGAAATCGATGGCAGAGTTATATAATCTGCTGCGGGGACCTCGAGCTCCTTGTTGAGAGGGTAAACCTACTCGCGAGAATCGAGATCGTATAATGTGAACGATCGATAATATGCAAGACTCTCACATACCTCCATGTGTAGGGTCCAACTTCGACCAGCTTCGGAGTTTCTCCACGCTTCAGAACCGCCTCGGGGTTCGTCACATTGAAATAGTAGAACTTCTGATAAATGGGGAACGATATCTTCTTCCAGCCTTCATATGTTTCGCTTCCCGGGAGCAAAGGGAGCCTCCCGATGACAAGGACTTCGAAGAGTTTGCTGAGGGTGAGCAGGCCGCCGATACCGAAAATGGCGACCATAACTCCCACGCACAGCATGACCACTGTGAATTGGAAATGTCAGGAATATCATTTCTATTTGAGTTTGAACTCCTTTCCGCCTCCAGACTCTCAGAGCGAGGAATTATGCCCGAGAATTCAGCTGGAGAGGAACTCTGCGATATTAGGCGACTCGTGAAGTCTTTCGCGCGGAGCTAATAATCCGTTGTCATGCGTGTCCGACGAGGAAAACTTTATTTACGCGTTGCGTGAGTGATTCATAGTTGGTGAACGACACGCAATCTCAATCTCGCCGGCTAGGAATGAATTTCCTGGGATTTACGAAGAACGCTCCGAATGTCCCAGGAATTGCTCCGAATTCAGTAGGTCTCTCATCAATGAGCGAACGAACAGGAGATTTGAAGCTTTCGAGACCAATCTCCGCGAATCGATTCCGGAAGTCTGTTCATAGCTCGTATCCACCCTGACTCTTTTCGGTTCGCTGATGAGGACGAGAGCAAAAGACCGGGGTAACCCCGACGGTCGTCGGAGCTTGAAGAGAAGAAAATTCAGCCAGCCGATTTCTACGTTCCGCTTAAGTTTCTGTTTCTGATAATCAATAAAAGATTGTAACGCGTTGTCGTAGCTCTCGGAGTCAATATCAATCACCTTCGCGCGGTCGTGAATGATGTTCAGATAAGCGCGAACTGCCAAAAGACCTTTATAAGTTGGCTCCAGGCACCGAGTTTTGAAGGTCTGCTCAGTGACTGAATAGCGCGTAGTGGAAGATTGCAGCCGGCTCGAGCAAAGTTTCTCACCAATCACTACTCTAAATGATACAGCGTTGTTTTCGTCGCAGATTATATATTTCTCGGTCTACTTCTTCTTTCTCCAGCTCGCTCCGAAGAATAACAACATTCGTTCCCGAGCACGACGATTGCACCGCAGCGATGGACCAAAAGAGCAATCAATGAGGGAAACCCGTCCAGGCATTCTGATAATGCACCGGTTCCACCAATCCGTTTACAGAACGCGGATACTCGCTCTAGCTATGATTTGAGGCGGGCCCGTCTCCCTGTTTTTCGCGACATCCATCACCGAATTTATCGGCAAGCAGGTATACCGGCCTCACTGATGTCCGCCACAGCTAGCATACTACCCTGGAGCATTTGGCCGCATCACGAAGCCGGTGCGGTACCGAATTTCGAAGATGGAAAACAGGGCCGATAGGCGCCACGAGAATGTCTGCTTCGATGAAGCATCAGAAAAAAAAGAGCACTCACCATCGCGATCCTTGAGAGCCATCGTCGTTCCTTGACAGCGGATCTTCAAGTTTTCATGGCTGGGGAATAGAGGAGGAATTCCTGAGAAAATCACACCGTGCTTTGCGGACAGCAGAAACGTCTGGCCGACTCCACCAGCAGACACCGCTCGAGTCGCAACAGAGCAGGAGAGAATGTGCGCCGTTGAAAGTTGCGGCCCTCCGCGTGACTAATCGACGAGCTGACTGAGTGAGTATTGTCATGGACTTCATCCCAAATATTCTGTGGAATCTATTTCCCAAGGAAAAACAAACAAAAAATAGTCCACCTTCTTTCCCCTTCTGCGGCGCCACCTCCGGCGGCCAGAGAGAGAGCATATGGTTGCGATCGGAGAGCCGCCGAAAATATTGCATAATCTCGCTCTTAGCCAGCGCTGCTCTCATGTGGTCCGTGTAACTCCGCAGAATTCATAAATGGATTCCGGAGATGGCCATGCGCAGCTCTGGCTGTTTACAAAATCTAACGCAGTAGGATGACTGGACCCGGGAGACCGATTCAGGCCTCAAGCGCAGCCGTGAATAAAGGAATAATCCACCAGAATTCACAGCGAAATCGTTCCATGTTGGTCGGGGAGAATCTTGATCAAGTGAAAATCTATTTCTAGCACCGGAATCCTTCGAAAAGAACTTCCGTTCCGCTCTTCCCCATGCAGGAGTGTATCGATTGATTTTTTCCGAGGGTTTCGTCAGCACCGAGAGGAGCAAGTCGTTGAATTTGCATCACATCGAATGCCGCTGCTTCCAACGCTCCTCAACGGCGCGCCGTAAGTCTGCTTCCCGACCGAAGGAGAACCTGCCGGCTAGCCGCTCGCATTGCTCGGACGCAATGCGCGCGTCAACCAGGAAGAGCTCTTCGCGGACCCAAACAGAAGATCTGACAGCTTTTTCGGGTCACGAGAAACTGTGCCAAATACTTCGATGCACTATTCGAGAGATGACTCGATCACAAGGTCGACTCAACGAGATGGATCTTCGGTGACGAGGAGTCGAGAGAACGGAAACAGCAGCGTCGCCTGGATGAGCTACGGAAGCTCACTTGAGTAGCTCGTTGAGCCGACTGATCTCGCAATGCGTATCCGTGGAATCCACAGCCGGGATCGTGACCCAAGAAACGGCTTTCCTTCCACCATTAAGGATAAATTCAGCGAGCGAATTGATATTCCCAGGAAGCCGCCAGCTGCATCGATCGCCGCTCAGTGAGGTCTGAAGACATGCTTCGGTTGCTTTGTTACCAACCATCATCGGTGAGAAATACTTGCACAACTCTAATACTGAGCGGGTCTTCCTGAACGAGAGTGGAGCCGCGGGTAAACTCCACAGCTTGTCTCCGAGGGATGTTCGATGACGCACTGCTGCCGGAGATGTGCTGCCGGTCCTCTCGATAATTAGCCTGAGTGAGACGCAGCCTCGTCCCTTCGAGCTTGTCACCACTCGTCCCAACGTTTCGGCGACACACGGAATAAGTAGACACGGCGCGGAATATCACTGATCAGGTTGCGGGCGAGACTTGAATCGCATTGACAACTTACCGACCTCAATCCTTCGTTTTACGGCTCACGTTCGAGTCGTGTCGGCAGCCCCGAAGCGCGATCTGCCATTCTTACGAACAGCTGAAAGTGAAAAGCGAGCCATGGGAGAGGAGGAGACCGATTCACCGTCAACCTGCGCCGCCTGCCCGTACATGTGTGAATACCTTCGACATCATCGCACTGGCCACACGGGCGGCCACAGCTTTCCCAATCGAACAGCTGAGCGCGCCAGTTTCAAAACAATCCGGGGCGCCCCCTGGCTCCGGACAACGGAATATCCGTCTGCTGCCGCGCGCGGTCAAGTGCAAGACAACATGATGAAGAAACCGGAAGGTCGTCCACCGGCTTCCGAGGAGGGGATGAATTTTCACGAGCGGGAGGAATTCGACTCTGAAATCCGCGAAAGAGAGAATCACTCCTATTTCCGACCGAGACGAGCCTCTGGGAAATAACGTGGGCTGGAAATTATGACATATCCTGGCATGAGAGAGGCAACGACAATTGAACTTCCGGTCTACATCAGACTCCGGAGCTGCGTGAGGCCCGGTGGAAACTCCGAGGCGATCGTGGTCGCTGCAATTACGGGGGCTATCGAGTACTTGACCGCTCGATTCAATCGGAGGAAGCCAGTCTGTACTCCCAGGTCGGCTCGGACCCTCTGATCCGCTGGGACTCGATCAGAACCGCGTTTATGAAAACCGACATCATCTACTCGATCGGAGTCTGCATGATCTTCCGCAACTTCCCTCGGTATACATTATGCTACCAGGGATTGATTCGACGGTAACGGAAATTCGTCGTATTCGCTGATTGCCATAGGCTACGCTTCGCACTCAGTTCTTCTGAGTAAGGGCTGCGTCGAGCTCAAGTAGCGCTGACCTGAGTGAGTGAGTGAGTGAGTGAGTGAGTGAGTGAGTGAGTGAGTGAGTGAGTGAGAGGAGACGGTAGAGGAGATGCCGAGCAGCGTCGATCGATGGCTCCGTTTCTCGAGCTCGAATCACGGGATTCAAGGTCGATCTCCTGAGTCGACTCTACCGACCGCAGAGAGCAGACTTTGGATGAGACAGCGTCAAGCACCACGACCGAATACCGGAATAGGCCCTGAATCACGGCCGCGTTTTTTGGGAAAAAAAATTATGATGACCCGGGCGGACGAAATCGGAGACGACTTCAGAAGCATCAACGATCTAGAGCCCTGTATCGCACGTCGCACTATCGATATAGCTCAATGCCCAATCTTTGAATTCGGATTGTCTGATGCCTGATCGGAAGAGGATTCTGAGCGGCGCTCATGAGCATCTCGCTCCCTCGTCTCGATCGGAAGCTGCCGCATGCGCGATGTGTTCTCGCAATCATGATTCTGGGATACGAACATCAATGCGAGTTGTGATTTCCCCTCGTGTCTCTGGGACCGTGGTCGAGATCATTACCCTGGGGGGGGGGTATCTGGAGAATGGATTCGAATCATATATGAGCGAGTCCCCGGCGGGGACCAGGAGCGTCATGGACTCAGTTCGGGAGCTTCTTCTATAGACTCCGTAAACGGGTTTCTATGGTATACATGTACCAGCCACTTTGAGGGGCGTACCCGGAGTTTTATGTCGTGATTTAGATTCTGATGGGCGGGGGGGACATAGGGAGAAAAAATTGACGCTGCTCCTCGTTAGCGTTGGCATGCCCCAAACACCCTCCCACCTCGGCACGCCGCCGCGCCGTATGTACTGCCTTGGAACCTGGATGCAACAAAAGTTCCTAGGTTCGTCCTTGTGTTGGTCAAGCCAACTCAAGTTCAGTCCTCGTCTCCGATTCATTATTATTGATGTTGTGTCCTTAGATAGTGAGGCGACTCGCGCGCTGCTTCGAGGCTATGGAGGGCAAACTCCCGCGGTATCAAACAACATGCACCCCCGACCTTCGTGATCTGGCGATCCCACATAACATTTGGCGGAAGCAGGGATTGGAACCCGAGCCATGGAAAGAGACGGACCACGGAATGTTCGGCACCCCTTGACTGCGGAGCCCCTTAGCACTCCTTGGAGACCTCGCGGCACTTCCCGACCCACCGGCATATCGCGAAAAACCGGGAATATCAATGATGAGACTAGAGACAGATGCTTGCATTATTGGCTGAACTAAGCAGCGAAAAAAGAAGACCTCTCCAGCGGAATACCACAATCGCAAGGCCTGAGAAAGCTGCCCAACATCCATAAGAGAGGAGCAGCTACTCCTGAGAGAGGCCGCGATTCCCAGTCCCCTCACCTATTTCGTCGAAGGAATCCGAGAATTTTGCATCTCATTCGCATTCCAGAATTCATTAATTCCTTCCATTCATTACTTCATTCATTCCTATTCCGTCATGGTGGCGAATCCCGGAGACTTCGAATACCTGATGCAGATCGCGGGCACGCACCAGAGGCGGATCCAGGAGTCCTCCAAGGGGGGGGGCGGTCAATGCATCGAGGGAGAGGCGGATCGATATCTGGGTCCTGCTATAACATGGGGAGTATGGGAAGTCGGAAGTCTCGAGGAGGAGGCGATCGCCTGACCGCCTCCTCCCCTGGATCCGCCACTGGCACGCACGTGGATCTCTCCAGTCGGAACCGGAAGAAGGTAAGAGTCCAGTATCGGCAACAAAGACCTCTTCGAAAAAAACGCGGTTGCGCCGTAGTTCCATTCGGAGCGGAGACAAATGTCACAGTGGAGAAAAGGGCTCCTTCTGCGATTTCGCGAACGGAAGATCTCCTCAATTGCGCATCGGACATCTGCCGTGCAATGGTCTCTCGGAATGTCCTTATTTATTCTTGACCTTTCTCTCGGAATTGAATATTCGGACTCCGTTAGACCGGATTATCGCTGTTGTTGTCGAAGGATGGTCAGATTGTCGGGAACTCGACCCCAAGATCGCATCGTCCATCGGTACGACGAAGAGCGAGTTTTCCCGGGAGACTTCGTTCTAGATGTTGTATGGCTCCACGGCGAGACTCAAGGACGAGTCAACTCGGAGTGACAAGCGGTAACGCTAGGTAGGCGCGACGAGGCGAGAGGGCCATCGGAACCTGACATCGGCACAAGACCGTAGCGAAACGATCCACGACTTCGGAGTGCATCGCCGACGTCAGGGACCGTGGGACAAGAAGTGCTGGTACGAATGAATGAGGATCGACGTGGCTTCTCGTGGAAGTTACAACCGAATATCATGGGCCCGTGGACGGTTGTGAGGGAAGCTGCTTTTCTGACCTTCACTCCGAGGGATCGCACGGGTCGTGAGCGCCTTACCAATGTCTAGTACGTGCGTCCGTCTCGATCGCGGACGTCCGACCTGGTAGCTTTTGAGACCCGAGCGCCGCCTCGGGGCTATAGAAGGGGTTGCTAGCTTCCAAAGGACTAAACTAGGTAAGATGGATTCCCGACCTCCATTATTATCTGGCGATCGCCCGCTACAATAGTTCAAGGACTCACTTACGCTCGCCTTCGCAAGAAAGGGGTCGTAGCTGGTACGAGCCATGAGAGATCACTAGCTTCTGATCGTCTCTATCGAAGAGCTTCATTCAGGCATCGATGAGCGGCATGGACATGGATGGGGGATATATGTAATCATTTGAGACCTTCAATCGATTACGTTGTCTCCTGTCTCTGATTCACGCTCTCGCGGACCGTCGGGCAGCCTGTCGCAGCTTGCTCTCGGTCACTCGCGCCATATGCGGTATCGCTATGTCATGGTGGGGAATCAGTCCTAAACGATTGATCGAAGCAGCTGACCTGTCTGCAGTTGAATCATGGATTCACCGCGGGGCAGAAATACGGAATAAACGACCCCCTCGTAGTTCCACCAGATGTCTTCGAGGATTTCGCTCGGATGAGGTCGAGCCTTTGAGGCAGCAACGTTGGTCACGCGCTTATCCATGAGGATGCGCAAGAACAAGGCATTCTACGAGGTAGATAGTGATGGTCGAATACCCGTCAGTCCTTGTGAGAGTTCGCTCGGAGCTCATCACAAGCAGCATTAGGCGATTCTCCAATCGCAATGAGACCATTGGTGGTCCCACGATAGGCTACGCGTCATGATTCCCGAAAACTGCGCTCTCAAGATGAGAAGATCTTGGAGCTAAGGGATGTCTTACTTTGCAGACAAGCAAGACAATCGTGTTGAATTCGCTGGATCCAGGGTTGGAGGAGGAATCGGTTCTGAGCAAAAAAAGGATTTAATCCGGCCGATCGATGGACAAGGTTGCTCCCTTTTTGCTCATCTCGTGGCTCCAGCTAGCCCCTCTCATTCCGGAATGGTCGTTACACGCGAATCGACACTCATCCAGTCGAAGAGTTCATCTTCTGGAATTTCTAGAATCGCGATTCCGATCCTCTCTCAGCCAGACCTCATTAGAGGTGAAATGAAAACATTGCATGATTCAAGCCCATCGGGCGAGAGCGCCGGTGCCGCGCCTGTGTTAAGAACGCCCCAGATCTCTTTCGGTGAGGAATGTGGGGGCGGGGTGAGTCATTACTCATCACATACCACGCGCGACTTCGTCCCAAGAGTCGCCGAGTCCGATCTTGATCAGAGTTCCGATGCGATTGTCCGCTGCGCCGCTTGCATCTTCATCGAGAGAGTATTCTTTTTCCTTTGCGCCTCCTCTGGAAACCCGAAAACTTCTAGCTGATTCCCTGATCTCGGTCACTCGAAATGATGACCGGATGATATTTCCTCGATCTTGGGCGACTTCGGAGAGCTCATGGTTCACGTGGTGGTCCAATCCATTCTGAGTTTCGGAAACGGTCCGAACTGTTCCCTGACGAGAATTCTGTGTCCCGACGGCTCCATTGTCTCATCATCCTGTGACTTGGAGCCCGGGAAAACATCGTGGCTAAGCTCCTTTGTACCAAGTCGCTCACCGAGTGAGAGACGACCTTTCCCGACTTATTGCGTGTTACCCACAGATTCAGCCCGAGTCATTTCTCTTGCCACTGCATGGAGTGCGGAGTTGCTCAAGTTATCGTTCGAACGAAAGGCGCATCGGTTCCTCGAGGATAGGAGAAGAACCAGATCCCGTCAGAATTAGGCATACTGAGGAGGTTCCACAAACGGACATCATTGCGTGATGGGATAAATAATGTGTTTATGGTATGATGGGGGTTAGAGTCTGGACATGATTGGTCAGAAGCTCTCTCGCGAATTCTCCGAAGGGGTGTGGATGCAGCCAGGGGAGTCTTCATATCCGTCGCGTCTCCGAAACTCGATTCGATTGCCACCTGATAGGTTTCAAGAGCTTTCAGAACGCGCCCATCCGTCTGCCTTGCTCCGAGCTCCTTCCGAGTGCTTCCGTCAAACTCTTCCGGCTCGAGGTTCTTCCGAGAGGGTACGAACTCTAATTGCTATCTCTATTCGCGTAAAGATGACCATAGGTGAGTCGGGGAATCGAGACCTGGTGCTTGTGCTGGAGTCTGCACATAGAACGCGCGATTCGTTTGATTCGGAGGGAAGAATTCCGCACGGGAAACGACATCAAGTCAGCAGAAGAGCTGTTCTTGACCCACCAAATGGCCGAGTGGTAGGCGCGTGCGACGCACGCAGTCTTGCCCCATGGAGACGCCGCTATCGTCGGGGAGGTCCGGGGTTCAATTCCCGTGATCAGCCGAGATTCCGTATAGGAAATCGAGATTCTCAGTCCTAGCGTGAAACTCAGTCGGGTCCTGGGGTCGCACGAGGGAGCATTAGCTCTCGCTCAAACCTTCTACCACCGCGCAGCTGCTGTCTTTGCACTGAAGAATAATTCGAGAAGCGAGAAAGTTCTCTCGCAGCTCTCTCGCTCTTCATCACGGCTGACGTCCTCACAGCCTCCTATGAACCAAGCTAATATTATGGATTTGTGAGATTCACCCACGTCCGTATCTCTCTCTGCGGTCGAAAAGTCCAGCAGCCGCAGCTATTTCGAGGCGGAATGCAAAGGGGTGATGGGTTATTCTCAATTAGAGGAGCAGTGATGAAAGGGCTTCGTAATTCATCGATGTTGGGATCCTCTCTCTTCACATCCGCTATAAAAGGTAGCTTCCGATCAGAGATTCAAATCGATTCGTGTCGCTCCTGAGGTGTTAAGTTGACCCCGGCTCGGACACCCTCCAATCCACCGACTGACCACTCGGGCCTTTCACGAAGCAGAGTTAGTGCAGAATGGCGTTCCCATCGTGCACATATCATGTGATCTCGGGAGTTTGCCCCGATGGGGAGTGCCGACTCGTGCACGGAGATCTCTGCCAGTATTGCGGGATGTATCTTCTCCATCCAGAGGATGAAGCTTTCAATGCCCAACACTTGGGAGTTTGTCGGGAGATTCGTGAGACTCGGGGGGAATCCCAGCCCTTCCCCGCTCGTCCGACGAATTTCGAGTGCGGGGTATGTCTCGAAAACATCTCGGACATACAACCGGAGGGAGCGAGGATATTCGGTCTCCTCGAAAAATGTCCACACGTATTCTGCTTGAAATGCATCGCGGAATGGAGGGGAGTCAAGACCGTGGACGTCGAGTCGGTGAGGGGATGTCCCGAATGTCGAACTCAGTCCGAGCTCGTCATTCCTTCTGCCTACTTTGTCGGAGGGGGGGAGCAGAAACGCCTCCTCATAGAAGGCTACAAGGCGGCTCTGTCAACGAAGCCTTGTGAGTTCCTCGAGGGGGAATGTCCCTTCGCCGAAGAATGTTTCTTTCGGCACGATCCTGCGGAGAGTCCATCGGCGCTCAATCCCGCTACCTCGGCGACTTCGGAACAACTCGATTCTATCAGTCACACGGACAGGCTCGAAATTGGACTCGGTGACGGGATCGATGGCGATGAGGGTAGCGAATTCAACCTTGAGATCGAATTCGACGTGGAAATCCAAATCCAAATGGAAATCGGGCTCGATATGGACCCAGAAGTAGACATGGACCAGGAAGTCGATATGGAAATCGCTTTCGACATGGAGATGAAATTCGATTTGGAAATTGAAGTCGGAATGGAATAAGGCCGCAAATCGTCGAACTTTTGATTTTGATTCGTTCCACCAGGATGAGGAGGAATTGTATCCGAAAATTGATTTATATATGTCTTTATATATATAGATATATTTATAAATGTATTTATCTAAATAATATTCGAATCTATGAGGTATCGTGGGTCACCATGTATTAAGTGAGTACATCTCCAGACATTGAAATCAATCACCTTTCGTTGTTCCTGGCGAGAAGAAAGATCACCTGAGTTGAATGAATAAGCGCAAGTTTCAAATATTCGACTGCTGGATTCTCCGTCCCGGCTCTGGGAAACTCAAAGATTCCTCATTCTCATTGCGCCCAGAGGAAACACCATGAAACGCTTACCTTGCCTCTCAAAGATCCGCGATACCGCGTTGTTTCCGGGGATCGCTCATACAGCTATGTACATTGTTCCGCAAAATTGACAAGCCGCCCCGCTGACTAACTCTACTCAACCCCGACGCCCCCCCCCCACCATCGAGGTTTAGGGCGCCTGACATGCTTTCCGGTCCGCAAAGTTCTCCGATCTCCGCGAATAAGAAGCAAGATCGAAGGGCACGAGCTGATCTGCGGCGAGTGATTTCGGAATCCAAAGCTGAAGTCCGGTGGGGTCTGCTATCGAAATCAGGATCACATCAGACGGGGTGAACAGCGATCGCCCGATCGTTCCAATCGAAGTCGAGAATGAATTACTCAGAGAACTTGAACCCTGCAGCATGACGTGTGAGCGCGCAATTTTGAAGCAGTTCCACGGTTGAGGCATCGGGGTGCCCTATCTCTTCGACCCATCAAGGAGGAGGCTTCGCTTTCCCGCGGGGTCACTTCGAAGATAGGATAAACTGATGAGCTGATCGATTTCCGCCATGGAAAGCGTTCTCACGGCGGCGTCAAGCATGGGAGCCCAGGACATTTCTCGGCTCTCAAGGACACCCGACGTGCTCCCTTATTGGATCCCGGCTTCGGATTACAGAGGGGACGCTCGTCCGACTCATTCATCAGCGGAGAGACTATCGCAGAGACCTTCTCGCCCTCTTCACGACGTCTCGCTTGGGCTAATTTGACCCCGAGTCCGCCGAATTGCCTCTTGCGTGGAGTTTCAAGCCTCTCCCCTATCCGTAGAGGGAGGAGGTCCGTTTTCGATCGCTGATGCAGAGGTTCTCAATCTGATCTGCTGATCGAGTGCTCATCGAATGCCAGATCTACAGCGATGCTGACACGATCTGAAAGGTGCACGTTCCGTCTCCTGTCGTGCCTATGCGTGGTGGGCGCTTCCATTCACGATAAATGTCGACAAGCACAGTTGCTGATTTACAAGTACCACTCCACCTCTGGGGACCCAACTCATAGATCAGACTGTACTTCTCGGTCCACCGAAGAAGCACCCAAACCTGACATGGAGCAGAGTGAGTAAAGAATGGATTGTCCAACGTGTGAATATCATGTGATCTCGAGATTCAGCTCAACTGTAGATCGCCGATCTGTGCACGGGGATCTCTACTGCTATCGCGGGATGTATCTTCTCCATCCAGGATATGATGAATTGAAATGACCAACACTCGGGAGTTTGTCGGGAGATTCGTGAGACTCGGGGGGAATCGCACCCCTTCCCCGCTCGTCCGACGAATTTCGAGTGCGGGGTATGTCTCGAAAACATCTCGGATATACAACCGGAGGAATCGAGGATATTCGGTCTCCTCGACAAATGTCCACACGTGTTCTGCTTGAAATGCATCGCAGAATGGAGGGAAGTCAAGACCGTGGACGTCGAGTCGGTAAGGGGCTCATATAGATTCTTGGGTGTCCCGAATGTCGAACTAAGTCCGAGCTCGTCATTCCTTCTGCTTGATTTGTCGGGGGAGGGTAGCAGAAAAGCCTCCTCATCGAAGGCTACAAGGCGGCTCTCTCGACCCAGCTGAGTTTATCGTGAACAGAGAGGTAAGAGACTCCCCGTGATTTCCCTCTTATTCCCGACGTCTATGGGGGGAAACCGATTATGCGAGCGAACCGCTCATGGGGGAGAAGTTAAGATTCCTCAGAGCTCCCCCACCAGCGGCTCGATTGTGTACAGTCGAGTTAGAGATCATGACCACCCATGTATGTGCATGAGCACACTCACAGCCTTTGACTGATACAGGAATCTCCACTTCTGGTGATAAGGAGTCATCTGGGGCGGTTCATATTCGGAGAAGGAGAATTCGTCTGCGACTTACATATAATATATCACGATGACTACGTAACGAATAAACTCGGATCCGAAACGATTGACTCCTGATTTATCTTCGAGGGCAGTGGAAAATCCTGAGATCGCATCCCCCAACGCGCCCAGAGAGAAGTTATCATTGAAGTCCTGTGGTTCGTCTTGCCTGCTGCAAATTCACGATACCTCCCTCGTGATCGTAGCGCTCCCTGTCTTATGTTAGTCGTACTCTCGCGAAATTCCTTCGAGACCGACTTGATGCTGACGCTAAAAGAGATGCGTTTTCTTTAAGTGCTCGTCGAGCTCGGAACGATGAGGGCTGACGGCGACTGTTTCGTCGAGTTTTGAAAGACCCTCGAGTTTGCTGAATCGCACGGTGGAAGGACTCACTCAGGCACTCTCCGAATTCCTCCGACCCCTTTGATCCGCGCGATTTTGTTCGTGAGCAATGGCCGAGGCTGAAGATCCGACGAAGCGCGAATCGCAGAACCTACAGGGGAAGCAAGTTGGGCGGGAACTTCTTGGTATCGCCGAGAGGAAGAATCTGATCGCCCTATGATGTTGATTAGGGATGGAAATCTATTCTCATAGACTCGGAGAGCTCGAAGTTTTCGGCACTATTCGTAAACTCGCAAGCGTGACCCGAAGCTTAGGCATCAAGGTGCCGTACTCCTGCGATCGTCGAGGCGGAGGGAGCTTCGCTTTTCGGTGAGGTCGCCTCAAGGATCGCTCTCCTTCATCGGCCAACTTTCAAACGCAGCACTGGAGCGGAAATCCATTTTATTAATCAGCTCTGATATGTAGACTTTCGATGCGGAATCGCAACGGAATGTTGCGAGATATCGCAGATCCCGGTGTGGGCGGGTTGTTCATTGAGCCACATAAAGGATCGCTCCTCCAGATAGTCGCTGCTCCCCGAAGGTTGAACGAGATATACATGGTCAGATTGGAGTGCTACATCGGAGACGAGAGAGCGCCTCAGAAGAGACATCCGGAGGAGTCGACGCGGCTCGTCCGCGGAATCCCCGAATGACTGCGATGCCTTTGAGCTCACTCAGACTCGGAACTACGGACATTCTCCGAGAGCATCTTGGAGTCAGAGAACCACGGGCGTCCATGTGCGAGGCGCCGAACACCCGGCTACTCGTCGCTGCAGATGTACGAATGAATATAGGTATTGAGGCATGATTCATCCTGATAAGCATCCAAACCGGGAGTCGGAATCGTGGCTTGGTATCTAGCGCGTTATGTTATCAATCCATCCATCGGCATCCGTATACAGTTTCCGACAACGGTATTCAGCTCGGCATTTCCGCCAATATCACGGGAGGGGACTAAGCCGACCATCAGCTCCGAAATATGAATAAATGGATGGATATCGAGCGCAGAAAAAATTGGCGTCTACAGGCTTGGTATACTTTCCACGTCCCATCCCTTGTTCGGGTTAAACGAGTCTTTCGACGTGCCCCGCTCTAACGTAGCACTGTCGTCAATGCCCGCAAGAGAGTTGCCTCGAGCGTTTGTTCTCCTGTTCCCCTGGCCGCATTGAATCCCCTCCCGGTCTTCCGAATGCCCCTCAATGAGAGCAGGCCCTCCCTCGGAGCCCGCATAGCATCCCATTCTATGCTTTGCTTCCGTAGCTTGCCCTCTATTTAAGTCTGATGGCGTGGAACGAGAACACATAATTTCCTTAGCGGACATCTTTCCATGCTTCATATTTATTCCAGTATGGATGAATGTACACTCATTGCTTGAGATGTGTACGGTCCGAACGTTTGCAGTCCCTCTCTGGTTTCGGAGGGTCATGGCCCGAATTTTCTCGTTTTTTGGCAACAGGCAACAACCACAATAGCCATTTCGCGACCCGAAAACGCACGATACAACCTCTTAATGTAACTAAGCGGCACCTTCAGTCAAGGAGAATGAGTAAAGTTGCTATTAATGAGTCTCGGTTGGATACAGCTTCGCTCAGCAGCCATGATCGTCTCCTCCATGAACGGCTGTGAATAGAATGACCTAGCCCCGGTCTATCGAAGCGGGAACATGACAATCTCAGCAGTTATATCTCGATCGGCATCTAGACTTTACAAAAGTGGCAGCGCGGATGAGTGTTTTCTACCGAGGAACAAACCGTTGACGTTGGAAATCATGCGGACTAGTGCCTATTCAGCGACTCATAGAAAACGACTTGCTGAACGCGACGGAGGATCTCGGGAGCGACCTCTCCAGCCGCTCTCTCGCGAAGCGACTTGAACTCACGCGAGTATTACGGCGCGGCGCTTTCTGTACGAATCTGTCGCTATTGAACAACGGGATGCTTCGTGTCGAGATCATCGACATGTGCATGATCGATCCGCCACGAAGACAACATCAGAAGCATCATCCATTCTGAATATATATTTATAGTTCATGCATGCGGATAGTGTATACATAGACGTATGTAGACATAGATGAATGTATGTATACTATGCATGTATGTATATCCGAGATGCGACGCTCTTCGTCAACGTCTAGTGGACATCGAGGTAGAGAGGGCCGTTCCCGGATATTCTTATCCTAGTGTTCGAGACCCTACGTCCGCGTCTCAGGGAGTCGTCATAGTTTGTACCATGCAGAATCATCTTTTGATCCGAAGCGTGTATCTTATTGCAGCTCTTGCTGAAAATCACTAGATTGGAACGTTCCCAAGAGAATCCCGTGTCCGGCACTTGTTTTCCTTCATAACACATGAACCGTTCCTCTCTCCTCGCTCAATAAAGAATACTCCCTCACTAGACAGATAGACAGCATAATGCGAGATTGCGAGATGAGAAAGCGAATGAGCAACAGACTCCCAACTAAATCGCCTCGAATTACGATCGTCAAGACATAAGACGGGAATAAGGAGGCGGCTGTCACTAGCTCGTCTACAATCCGTTTTGTAATTTCTCAACCACTCATCCATTTCGGGAGAATCGGTTGTTTCGAAAGGTTTTTCAGAGTTCGGACGCTCCTGAAGATTATTTATTCGTCGGTATGATCCTCTTCCATGCCGAATAACTCGAGAATTTCAGAAAATCACTCGTGCCATTCGGACTTCTGATTCTCTCATTCCGTTTTTCCGTCTCGGGAGATTGCTCATAGGACGATTTCCTCAGTGTTCCACGTATCTATCATTCCGAGATTATCATCGAGATCTCTTGGGGAGATTATATGAAGTCTCATAATTCGCAGCTAGCAACAACTGATAGTTTGGATGACTGAATTCACTGTACAGAGATCTCTCAGGTAAGATATCTAGCGGATTTATGAATTCCCAAATGCATGCGTAAAAATTGTCATTCGACCGTTCCCCGCCTTGTACCTAATCACCGACGAGAACGTCGCGACCGGGGTCGTCGACCTGGTATTTCCGTCTGGTTCGTCCGTGTTCAGACCGGTTCCTGGAAGTCAACATTTCGGCTGGTTCTCGTGCTTGAAAACCAGCGCCTCCATCAATCGCAGCTTTGCCTTGATGTGCTTATATTGCACGTAAGTCGATTCCATCGGCGCACGATCCTCTCGTTGAACTTTGCGACCTGCGGGAGAGCGATAAGATTAGGTACACAGTCCGATGCCCACATAAAGGATCGACTCGAGTCCGCCTGCCGTATCGAATATCTGCTCGGAATGGCCTCAGCTCAGAGTAGGTAAGCGAGAACCAAAGGCTGCGCAGCCCGACGTAGCGAAAAATTACTCAATGAGTCGTTTGCGGCGAGAAAAACACTCTCAATTCGGGGAGTATGGGAGTGATTGGGAGTTCCGTCCCGCTCCTAGTCTCGCAGTGAGTCTTCTGGGCGCATTTCGAAAACGCACAAAGCTGGAACGTGTGCGCGCGTCTGTTTGTCTGAGGTGTGCGTCTCACTTAGATCGACTGAAGAAAATGTCTCTGTCTCGGCTCAACGGAAATGCGAAGTGGCATTTTCCGAAGATTCGACAGTTTTGGACCGACACTCAACTTCCAATCGCCTCACTCAGTCGTGTCTGTGCAACATGACGCTTTCTGAAGGACGATTCGAATTAAGTGCTTTCGAAGGAAATTCTGAACATAGCGCCGCGAAGAACTCAGTGGTAGAAGAGGAACGCAGCGAAACTAGAGATGCAATCATCGAACTTACCGCTGGCCAAGTAAAACTCTTTTTCGAATTGTCGGAGAATCCCGCGCAGGCGACGTTTTTCCAAGCGGGCTTTGCACTGTTCCTGCAGGAGTTCCCGCAGAGGCAGCTCGTGCAGGTTGCATGATTGGTTCTCGGAATCGGGACGATTTTCGATAACAGGAGAGTTGGCTTCGGCGACTTGAGGAGCAGGCGTCGACCCGTTCTGGAGTTCGGGTGCAATCTCCTTGAGAGGATTAACGAAAAGTTAGGGTATTTCGGAATAGCTGTACAAAGTCCGATTGGATAGCTTCCAGTTCGACCTCCGGAGGCGTGCCCGAGAATCGAGGCTAAGTTCGATCCACAATACGCAAAGTACACACTCCGCCACGGATCTGGAGGACGTGATCCGCGGTGCCCATCTGCCATCATTCAATCGAGAATCATTCGGAGAATTCTCGCTAGTCGATCGGCATCTCAGGGATTCTCGTTTGGCTTCCGTCGTATCGCAACTCACTTTAGCCGTTCCATATTCATTCTGACGGGAGTTGAATTCCATTTGCACATGTTCGGGAATTGGTTGGAGAGCGTCTTCTTTGGACTGTCCCAGTCCTGCTTGGAACGGACTTCCGCCGATGATTCGTTTGACGTTTCTATATCGGTCGTACAAGGGTCGCATCAAATTACGGTCGGCCCTCGATGTTGGACGTCCGTGAACGCTTTCGAACCTGAGCAAAGCTTTCTGAATGCACAATTTCTCTTCAACAACCTGCTCCCGGGTCATGTCCTGAAAAAAAAACAATCCTCGCTGAGCATCACACTTTACACGAGTCAGCCGTAAATTACGATCACAACGCGGAGACGTCTTCCTCTGCCCGATGGTGTTCACAAAATTTCACCACTCCAGTGCGATAACGCGCTCGGCGAGAACTCCTACATTTTCGATATTTCCAGATTTTTGACGTGGCCCATCAGCCCGGCTCTTTGTAAGAGATCGCACTGCCTGCACGGTATGGTTCCTCTGCCTTTGAACCAGCACCATGGTGTAGCTCGGGGGCGGCCGACGCTTGGCTCTTCTTTGAAACGACGAAAACGTTGCACATAACTCGAATGGAGCTCGAATTGCCGCTGGCGATCTTTTTGTACTCTGGGACGCTCGGCGAGGCTGACGCGGCTCGAGGATTATCTCGTTGCTCGTCCAGAGGGAGAGACGCTTCCTCGACGGAAAGAGATTCAAACAGAAACACGATCCATGCCGGACGGCATCAAATCGAGATGTCTGTACAACCGGTTGACAAGTATTCCCAATTAGGTATTTCGAACACAGCGCAAACGTATCATTTCCGACAGGTCGCCGAAGATGAGCAGACGCTCGCGGCCTCCGTGAGCCACTGATGGGACAATCGCATCTCGGAGGAATACTCGACCACAGGGATTAGCCTGGATCCCGGGGCGTCATCTTTATCGGGAACTGGAGTACGATGACGTCGGACGTCGGCCGGTGATGATCACCGGGGCTGGCTCGCAGAGAAAGAATTCCAAGCTCATTCTCGCAAAGCCGGGCCTCGCTGGACTCCGCATCAGTGATATGGATGCGAGGCCGTTCCTTCTTACTGCGAAGATACGACAATTCTTATTTTTTCCCCCTCCGATAAGTCACTCGGTCAACAATGCCCCCGTGACTTGTACCCGGCTAGGGGCGGACTACATGTCGCTATCGTTGTCACGTTCCACCGCGACTTCTGGTAACCACAGTGCGGAACCCACATTGTCGATGGGCTCACGCACCAGAAATCACCGGCAGTGCGCAGGCTGATTTTTATGAATCGAAAAAAAAGCGTCACCGGTAAGAGCGGCTGCATCCGTCCCCCGGGGCTTATCCGAGTCTCCCGGGCAATATGTCCCGCATCTCGATCTCTGATCTCTCAGCTTTTGTGGGATTCGAATCCCTTGAGGGAATCCCCGATTCGAAGCAGTGCGTAATTGAGTCGTTCCAGCTCTCGATCGGGCCGTCTAATCAGATGATCTGGGCTCCGGTATTCTCTGCTCGAAGATCTCGGCAGCATTCGATTCAAACTCTGAAAATCTACGTACAAATCGTCAAGCGACACTGCGGAATGCGAGGGATAGGTGCGAACCGACATCGCCACTCGCACCTCCGGTCAGATCGGACGCCGCGGAGCAGAGATCCTGAGTGGTAGAACCTTGAACGCTTCCAAGCAAGAGGGACTGGCTATAAAACGTGGCGGTGGCCACGTCTCCGACCACACACTTTCCGGAACTCCTCAGCGTACCACCCAACGAGAGAATAAGCGGCAAAATGTTCAAAGTTTTCGTCAGTGCGCTCGTGGTCGCTTCGGCCTCGGCCCAGATCGGAGGATACGGAGGTTTCGGCGGACATTCTGGTAAGCAGCAGCGTAATGGGGAATCGATTTCCCAGTATCTCACGCAAGGCAGAACACCTGCACACATTCAGAGTTTCGCAGAACATATCAAACGCATCTTTTTTGCATTTGAGGCAAACGCTCTCGAGCTTATTTTTGGCACTGCCATCGCTGAGCCCCGATCAGATCTATGTGATATGATATTTCAAACGAATGCAAACTCTCCAAATATCTGTTGCTGATTACTGACACAGGAAAGATTAAATCGAGCCTGAGATCTTCCGAGGGCTCGTGCCCTATCGTCCGATCGCTGTGGCAATAGTTTCTCGCTTAGACCGGCTCGGAACAATTTGACATCTGAGATCGCGGCAGAATGCGGCACATGTGGATTTCAAGAGATTCGTGAAATTGAGCCGTGGCGAGCCTTCGTCTTATCTCTCAATTGATTTCGGCCAAAGGCCCGCTGATACGACAAGCAAGAGCAGAAACATCGATACCACCACCATGAACGATATTCTCCCACAGGCGGATACGGGGCCTACGGCCAGAACCAAGGTGCTGGAGTCGGATCGTACGGAGGCGGAGCTCACGCGGGTCTGTCGCAAGGCATTAGCGGATACCACGGGCTCGGTCGAGGGGCAGTGCATCAGGGCAATCACGGCCAAATTATCGGGGGAGCAGCTGTCGGTGGATACGGAAACGCCAACGGAGTCCAGAAGTACGTGGTGCTCAATGAGCCTTGCGAGTGATCTCAACAAGAGCATCGACCGTTCCGGAGGATGTTCTTAACTTGGGTCGCTCGTCCCCTTCAGGCACTTCAACGATCATACCGGGCTGCAGGATCATTTCAACAACGGGCACAACCGCGTTTTCGCCAAAGAAAAAGTATATTCCGTCGATCAGGCCTACGGACACGGCGGTAAGAACGCGTTTGGAGCCACGAACGGGAACTTCGGAGGCTACGGACAGGGCGGCGCCTACCACAGCAACGACCATGTGAACAAGGCCCACGGTGGCGGATACGGTGCTTACAACGGATACGGCAACGGAGCCTACAACAACCATGTTGACCAGGGCTTCGGGAATCACGTGAGTGGATTAGAGACCGTACCGCGGATATATAGGTCACACCGAAAGGTGACCAGTTCCGGGTGCTGTACCATGATCTCATAGCTTCTGGTACCCGAGATAATTCAGTGAGGCAAAGTCACCAACGACCCTACGTGAATTCTAGGGTTTCGGTCACCATGGCGCCCAACAGTTGAACAACTACGGAAGCTTCGGAGGTGGACAGGGACATCAAGCACACCAGGGCGGCCAAGCTGGTCTTCCTCTCGGCGGATACGGAGTTGGTGCGGGTATCGGGAGCCCCTACCTCTACAGTGGCGGTATCCCCTACCACAAATAGATCCGATGACTCATGACTGTTTTGCATCATGTACGCCGCTTCTGACTCAGGTACTTTCTGCCAAAATCCATGAGGGTTGCCGATCACCCGGACGTAGAGGGAAGCTTGTTGTTCTGCGATTCGCCGACTTAATACTCAGCTCATACCACGAGCATAGAATAAAACACGCTGCACGTTCCAATACTTTATCGGTGTCCTTTCGTGATGTCCTTCGGGAGATGCCTGGAACCTCTCGGATCGATACGCAGGAATCCTCCCCGCCAGAAATGGCGCAGTGAAAAGGTGATCCGACTCACTCCCGTCGTCAAACTCGCCGACCAGAGGTGCCGAGCACCGAGCGAGGTGGCGAGCCCACAGGACACGGCCCGAATACCGCGGACGCTGCATCTACGTCGATCGGTCGACCAGAATCGAAAGCGATGGCCCGCTCTCAGGGAAGTCTAAGCGTCGCAGTCAGTATCCTAAAAATAGGTCTCTCCCCGAAAAAACGCGCAACGGACACCGTGCCAGAATCGAATGACACGATGGAAGCTCTCGAGACGCATAGAGAACGGAGACGAGAATAGTTTTCCCTCGTTGTTTTTTACTCCGCCGCACCATCGTCCGATTCCGAGACCCGGGAGCTGGCACGCTCGTCCTGAGTCGGAGGAAGACGTGTAATCATATCGCGCTCAACCGTCAGCAGCTGAACACTTGCGGAACCCGTCGGGAGTGTTAACGAGAACATCTCGCGTGCGAATTCATATTCCGCAGGAATTCTGTCCAACTGCTGTGGGAGTTCCCATCGGTCCCAAGCATACCAAGTCTATCCCTCCTCGAGTGCAAGGGTCCGTATCCTGAGCTTTTTGTTCGACTAGAAATTCTCTCGAACGCAGAGACTGTCCTCAACGGGGAACCGTTGAGCACAGCCCAAAGAAGGCCGTGTCCCGATGCTTCTCTGAGATTAACAAGAATCGCAGAAGGACTCGAGATCTCTTCTCGCGGCTCGGACGGCAGGGAGGGGGAGATCATCGATGAAGCCACTTCGATACGATGCCGGCTGCGTCATTTGGCCGAAACTGATACTTTAGTGGAACTTTCCGCTGGATGCGCCCGCAGCCATTGCGACCTGCCGTTCGAAAATTTCAATTGGGCAGGCCGGTCACGCGGGAACGGTCACGAACTCGGGGAAGTCGATCGACCGATGTTTGTCGAGCCCCGAGAATTCTCAGGCAGTCTCTAAGCCTTTGGGTATTCGCCGTACACCGAGCGTAATCAGAGCAAGGTTGGTGGCAGCGACTGTGTCGGTGTACAGTCGGCGCAAATAACTCGGTGTCTTGTCGTAGCCCATTTAAGGGAGCGACAGGCAAACGACTCGTTGAGCAAGCAAAGAGGTACATCGATGTAGAAGAGGAACAATGATAATAATATTGTTATCGCTCGTGATCGAGCGAAAACCCGGTGCCGGTGGACCTACCTCCACTCGCTCGGGTCGACGTGCCGAACGCCGTTTCTCGGCGAGGATGCTGAGTGTGTCGTTGAAGGCTCTCTCCAGGTTCTCGGATGATTTCTCCCAGTCGTCATCCGGACAATACCGTTGCCAGGACAGATATGCCGGCTCGGGAAGAAGCTCCTCCTCGTTTTGCAATGCTGCAAAGGAGATAAGTGAATCAATCAATCGAGCGTGATAGAACAGGAAACTAGTATTGGTGTTCGCGTGGGACCGGATATGCGGAGAGCTTCGAACGCGGAGGCGCTATTTCGATCGATTCAATGATTTTGCATTGAAATAGAAAGAAACGGATGGTATATATCGATACGATGATTCACCTTTGATTTCCTTGCGGATGTTGGTCAGCTCGTGCAGGAATTCTCTACACTGCGTGTCGCCCATTTTTTCCGCATGCGAAGGTCTGTGACCGGTTGTAGCTTCGAACGATGCCTCAAAAGTCAAGACTTTCTTCTTGAGGGCGCGCATTTTCTTCGTGAGCTGACGTTGGTCCTGTCTGGTTTTGGAATGTGTTGTTGTTCCCAAGAAATCGTTTTCTCCCACAGGCGGCGAAGGAGGTAAGCGCATTTCGTCGACGAGGTCATTCCGATGACTGAGGTAGCCTCTGTACGCAGATGGAGACAACGGAGCCTCGACCGAATTCGCTTTGTGGAACGACGTCGGAGCGGCGAGCGCGGGTACGATCGGCCACGAGAAGCGATGCTCCGAGAGTTGGGGCTCCTCCTCGTGGCTCAACTCCAAGGGCGGAACTTGGATCGCTGTTTCAGGCGGCGGGGTGGCGGGCGGTGAAGGGGTCACCCCACTCGCCATCGACTCGATTGAACCTGAGGGCGTGAGCATGAGTGAGTTCTGTGTTATGCATCCAGCTCGAAAAATGGAGCCTTGTGCGAATCACAATCTTATTTTCGAATTCCCCCATAGTCGACTAATATATAGCCGCGATTGGGCATCCTTTCACATGCATCCGAATATTTATTTTCAGATATCCGAAAAGCTAGTTCATCTACCGGGGCAAAATGAAATGTCGGCGATATTGTCCTACCTTTGTCGATGAATTCCATGCTCTCCGTAGAGACACTGAAGGTTGTCGAGGATTGGGAGGTCGAGGGTTCTCGGGTAGCTCTGGAATTCTCAGATCCCTCCTTCGAGTTTTTCCTCACATTTATCACAGGACGCTGTTTCTCCTGATCGGAAAACGTTCGCTTCCGGCCGCAAGGTTGCCAGCAGGTCCTTTCAAAATCCCTGCATATCTGTAAGGAGCCGAAGATCCTTTTCAGCCTCGTCTGAAATTTCGGAGCGCCTCCCGCCGTGTTTACTGTCACAAAGCCTCGTCCCGAGGAGCTCGCGCGGCTGGTCACCTCAGCCGTCATTGTCGACCGGGTCGACAAGTTTTCGATTTTGTTGCGCTTGTTGATTTTCACCACAATCACCGCCGCTGCTGCGGCTGTTGTTGTCGTTCCGGTGATTCTACGCTAAACGAGTTCGCCGAGGGAGTTCAACGCGTGGCGAGGGACACACTACGAGTCTCTGCGGCTTCCAAGCCTGACTGTGCTCTCACGGGCTGCGCGCATTCGCCTGCCCGTCGGCGAGCCGTCCAGCCTGCGCGCACTCGCCCGTCGCAAGATCGGCGTCGTTGCGAGAGCAATCATCAGACTGCGAGAATGGAAAGCCGGCCGAGTAGGTTCAACTCGAAAACACCGCGAGGTTCATCGGCTGAGCGACCGCCAGCTTCCCGGCCGCCGTCGCCGCCGCCGTCGTCAACATCGGCGACAGCCGTACTCGCACCTTGTAGGCGCTGTCGCCTTTGTCAACCGCAGAGCTTATGCAATAAGCTTTGAGGTTGAAACAAACTCTCACCAAAAATGCAGGCGATCGTCGGGGCGAACCACAATTCGATTCGCAGCCCGAGGGGAACATCCGTTCGGGAGAGGATCGGACACGCGTTATCCGCACCAGAAATCGCCGTCCGAGCTTGAGCTCCGTGATCTCATTTGCGCGTGATAATGAATACGCGTTGCGAGAAAATCCGTGCTCTCGATTCTAACGGCTGCACGAGGGAATGATCACGCGCCTCGTGTTGATAATTATGCATCGTTTGAAGATACATAAATCGGTCGACTCGACCGGGCAATCGAACGGCCTGACAGACGATCTTGTCAACGATAGCGAGTGTTCAGTCGATCGGTTCATCGAGAAAAAAATAGAGATCACTCTCACCTCGCGGTCGGCGGTGTGCTTGTTGATCGCGGGCATAGTGTGAGTGTGCGCATCCTGCGAATCCGCGCTCGCTCGGGGACACTTCACGGGGGACGAGGTCGAATCGTGACCGTCGGTGTCCATTTTGTCTTCTGTCACGAGATCCTGGAGCATGCTTGCGGGAGACGTGTTCTGAGAGCTCGCCGTGGCGCCGATCATGTCTTCGGATGACGAGCATCTTCTCAGTCTGACCATAGGGAATTGGGCGGGCGATGGCGGACGTTCTTCGGAACAGGAACGTCTCTTCTGAGTCAACAGAGCGTCATTGATCATCAGAGCAGGAATTCCATCATCGGAAGGTATTATCACGGTCAATGGCTGCTCGAAGATCTCGTAGTAATTCGCGATGAATATCGTCACGGCCTGGTTCGTTGTAGCTTGATCTTGAAGACCCTGGAGATCGTCGGCGAACCTGTGGTTTAGAGAGAAACGGAGGCGACGTTAGGAAACGCGGACGGAACGCATACTTGTCCAATCGCTGCGTAACGTAGTGATCGATTCCTTTATCCGCTTCCGATTTTGGAACACTTGCCGAAAGAGATTCGGACCGAACACGATGCCCAAGGCCGACGGATTCATTCTGGTGGTCTCCTCGTGTTGACTCACTTTGTGCAAGAACCTGCACAGATACCGTAAGACCATGAAGTTCTCTTCCGGAAGTTCTTCCACAAGAGCTCGGAAACGACCGAGACGCAGCTCGTGGTCGCTCTGAGTCGTCTGTGTGGCTTCCAGGAAATGGTTGTACATTTTCGAGGGTATCAGAGGCTCCGGTAGTTCCCTGTAATCGAAATGGATCAGTAATGGAGCTGTTAGACAGTCCACTTCTCTCATCACGAGAACCACGAACGACAACCCATGAACTATGAGGGGGATCCTGTCGACAGAATAAATATTTACCTGAAGAATGTTTTCAGGAGTCCAGCGGCTGCGGCTATATCAGCCTCTTGCTCCAGGGGAGCGTCTCCCTGACTGTCGAATGATGCTTTCAATTTGTCGATCAACTTGGCGTTGCCCGAAATTCTAAAAATGCCTTCTTGAGCCATTCCACGCGATTCGATGAAGAAACATAATCTGAAACCGCAGAATGGAACGATTATCATTCCGGTCGAAATTGGCGACCGGCTCCCTAAGGAGATCGGTGTTTTCTTCGCCATTTCTTTAGATTTTCGTGAAGAGCTCTTCGGGCGACCTCCGAAAATTCCGGCACAGAATGAAGAGTTTCTCCGGGTAGGTGTCCGAAAACATCGGCATCGAAGCAATCGGATGCACGACCCTCACTCGTAAGCTATGCGAGGGACGGTCGTCGGACTCTTCCTGATTGAGTGAGTGGACTCGCAATCAAGCGCTTTGATCAGAAACTGAAAGCGCCTGGCGCTCATCAACCCCACGATCAATGCACATAGATATCATACAATGCGTCCCATTCGGTCGCCAGCGAAGGTATCATACAAGGACGGGGGCCAGATGCACTGGGCGAGGAACAAAACCGGAGCATAATGGCTACAAGCTCGAAAAAGCTCCGCGAATGAGCGCGGGTTTCTTTGTGCTTCACCGCCATTGATTGTCTTCCTCGAGAACACTCAATGAGAACCCTTTGGTGACGTCGGCGGACTCGCCGCCCTTCGCAGAGATTGCAAGCTCCCTCGGGAAGCAGCGAACAAGATTTCGACTAATGTTAGTCTGCCGCTTTGAGGTCTCGCCAACCTTTGCCTCGCTCTTGCCAACGAACGACTTGGCTGTGCTGATGCGGTCCCTTCAGAGCCAGTGTGTACAGACCAAGGTCACCAATTTATGCGATGCCTGTCAAAAGCGGAATGCAAACCACCAAAAGGAGGGAACGACAACTGGTCAAACACACATGCGAGTCTTCCAGCCGACGAGAAGGAACCTCATTGAGGTCTCAACGTGGTCATCGAGATCACGACGAGAAACGACTGCAGTGCACCACAGAGGTCTTTGCATACTCTCGACTGGCGACAGATGGCCGCGGTTCGACATAAGTGGAAAGGATGAACGGAATATTCAAGTGCACCACCCACCGACCCGCACATGGGACGATTCGGAGTGTTCGGGCTCGAGTGCTGGAATTCACCCCTGAAGCTCTTGAAGAGTCGACTCGAAATAAATGCTCTTGTCAGGATCAACCCGCGCAGGTCTGAAGCGGTCACCTCCTGGGTTTAGATGGAACCAGAGAGAAAAAAAAGGCGGATAGATGCCCGTACAGATTATTTCTCGCAAGTGTCTTCTCTGCCCCCTCCTCTTTCCATGTCGTTTTCTCTCAAAATACGCTGCTCATCAAGACCGCCCGCCTGCCGGTAGCCTGCGCGTGTGCGATAACGGGCAGCTTATCCCACTTGACTCGCCGACTAGTGGTCGACGAAACGTACGGGCATGTGCCAGGGTGGGATGCGGGAGCGAAATCCACAAGAATTATCATAGTCGACGAAGCGTCTGACTTTTACGAGTTCGCTGCGTGAATAAGAACACCTCATTCAGCCCTGTCTGACGCACTTCCTGGCTTCCTCCGGTTCATCCGATGACGTGTCTCGCTGTCAGCAAGCGGGTTCATATTTCAGACGGAGAAAGGAAACCGTGAATCGATTTCCAGACTTAGGTATGAACACGGTGGCTATTCGGAAGCGGCGATCCCGGCGAGCTCTTCCGCAGAAAGCTGAATTTCAGTACACGAGCTTCCGAAGCACGATGCGATTCATGTCGGCATGCTTCCGCATGGCCTTCGAATGAATATTCGTAGTAATGACTCATGACATTCTATGCTTGCTTTGAGTTTCTCAAGCTTGTAGAAACGGTACCGGTGAGTTGGCTTCGGGCGGCCGGCGAGAAAACTGTCTCCCGAAGCTGAACTGGGAGCCTCGCATCGGAACACGGTGGAATAATTCGTTTCCCAGAATAATTTCCCGAACGACATCATTGACGATCAGGAGTCTGCCTTTGTGCTTCCCGCGATTCATTTCCCCAGGTTCTCCCTCGAGCTCCACTCATGCCTCTGACGTGACTTGTAACTCGCTCACGGATCCTACCCTCGAAAAACTCGGCCGAGGTCGGATAGTTCATCGTTACGATGACGTTTCCAGCTGATGGCCGAACGCCGTCCGAAAGTTGAAGAGGCTTGGCGAGAATTCAAGTACCTTAATGCGTCGAAATTACGAAACCGAAGCCAAAGTCTGCGTAGACGACTTCTTCCAAGCGGGAGTGCGATGTCATCAGGCAAGGAAGAAGTGCCAACGAGGAAGTGCACCCTGGCGGGGGGAAGGGGGATCGAGAATCTCAAAGTATGCTCAGACAGGTGTATTCGCTCCGACTCAAAACCATCAGTCAGCCTGCCCGGTGAGTAGATGCGTTTCCATGATCCCAACATGAAAACATAGGCTCCGGGAGAGTCACGAGCCTCGTGCGAATTCGCGCTTAGAAGTCCCCTCGTCCACTCTTTCAGAAGAAAAAATGTCCCCGGAACGCCTCGGAGATGACGATCGGAATCTGCTGTCTGTCAAACACGGATTGGTCGACATGAGCTTTCTTCGCTGACCCATTAACAAGGAAGGCCATCGACCTCGGCGACGACAACAACGCTGAACCACCGACGGAACGGCTGTTATTTTTCCGTCGGAAGATTGTCAAAAACAGCATCAGGTCTCAGCAAGCCGTCGACGGGGCCCGCTCTTTAAACAAGACGCACATAAATCCTTGACCGCCAACATCGCTCCTCTCGGCTTTCATTTTCCTCAATTTGATTCGGTTCCCTTTCTACACCTGTTTTTCGAGTCGCCGATCGGTGGTCTATTAGTCCGATGGCCGCCCATTCACTTGCTACCAGCCTATACCCGTCGTACTACTCGGAACCTGTCTGACGATTTGTCCACTCGATCGACACCATGAACAAAGTGACTAGGTAGCTGAGGCGACCTCGCAACGGAAGGCTGGAGAATCCCAGCAACGCGCGTGGTCCAACAAACATCCCGGAAAGGTTATGCGATAGAGAGAACATACGAGAAGAGATGACTTCACGGGGAAAAGTCCATTGGTTTGTTCACACACAGAGCGGCGACATTCAAAAGCTCGGGAATACACAACAACATTCGTGTTGAATACAGAGCCTTGAACTTGGGCGAGGAGAGGGTGGATTCTTCCCGCGGCTCCCGACGAAGTTCAGCGGCAAGGAGGGAGATCCCTGATTGGAACAGTGAGCCTCGACGCTGTAGAATATCGCTGACCGGAAGGAGTAAAGACTTGACGAACTGCGCTCCTGGAGATGACCCCATTGGGCAGCCAGCGCCGGGTTGGTTGGACGGGGTTGTCGGGTACCTTACCCTGGGACAGAAGTATGACACTGCGCTTCCCTATGATCGATTCCAATCCTAATGATTTGATACTTCATTCGGATCCGATATCCTCGCTCGTTGATGCCCAGTCTCGCCTTGAGTTGCGAGCGAAATCATCGGATTCGCGCCCCCATTCTTCGAAGAAGCAGTCGCCTCGTTGACTCAGAGACAAACAGATTCAGCTCTCTTCTCGGGTCCAGTCCGATCGAGGAGTCTTCCGCCGCGAAGTCTTGGCAGTGACGAAATGCTCGTGACCGATAACGGAGCGGCCCGCAGCGACCCACAGAATGATGTTTACGTTTTTCATCGACAAAGCCCGTGCTTTTCTGATCAGTGAGCAGGGACTGGTCAACACAACTCCGCCGGCATCCACGAAGCCGACCACCACCGATAATTCTGCGCAGCTCGCAGGGTCTCACATGAGTGAGTCACGAAGAAAGTCGCTTACGCTCAATTTTCCGGAATCTATCCACAGTTACAAGCACCGAGGTCCGCTAAACAGAAACACCGGAATCCATGTCAGGTTTCGCATGAGAAAACGCTAAGATAGCGATTGTTGCTCGAGCCGTCTCTGCTCGGGCGGAACCGGCGCTCTGACCCGTTTGCGAACGACTAAACTTCGAGAAGCGAAGGCCGACTATTATAAATTCATCAGAGACAGGTGATCTCGGCGGTTTCGCTCCTTTTTGAAACCTTATCGCCCGTTCGACGGAGATTTCCAAATGGAAATCATTTTGTCCGACAAGGACTCCGTGAGCATCATCTGATATGAATCATCAAAAAGCGTCGCCAGCGGAATGAATCCAACGCTTGTCACAGCGTTTCTGATTACGTCCATCATCGGGAACTGCTGACTGCATAACACGCGTCTCGAGTTATACATATCTACGGAACGGTTGCTTTTCCAGGATTTTTTTTAATGGTTCCCTGCACTAGCACCGCCAGTGCTCGCCACGAATAGAACGAGTAGTGTTGCTCGACTGCGGAAACAATTGAGACGATTCACTCGCGCGATGTTACTCGGAGTGACCTAGAGAAAGGCCTGCCGCTTTCAGCAGTGCTGGGGCTCACAGAATCGAGGCCTTCGAGAGAGTCCGGATGCGAAGGCACGACGCGACGTCCGCTTCCGAACCGACGTTCGATTCTCGGAGCGCACTTCCTGAGCGGCAGACTATGACTCTCGAACTTCGCCATCCGTCGACAAGAGGAAACCTGGAAACCCTTAGAGCTCCATTCCGCAGTCCCAAGCACTCTCAGAGGATAGGAGCATGAGTCTCGCATCACCGATAATATGCTGGGATGATGATATCCGAAAACCAGAGAAGGTCCACGAGAAAAACAAAGAAGAGTGCCCGATTTTCGAGGAAGTTAAGCACTCACGCACGGGACTCCACCTCGATCAGCTCTTGCGAGGTCAGATCACGGGAGTCCTCGACCGAAGTACATAGGGATCGACTTTTCGGGGAAAACTTCGAAGACCCTTAACTTCGCGATAGCGGGAATCGTCTTACCAGGAAGGTCAACGTCGAGATCATCTGCGCCGAAGATGCCAGCACTGCATCAAAATCCGCGACTCGTGGGCTTCTCCATACTCGCCGTAAGGTAAACGCGGAGTGGTCGAATTTGAGTAGCTGATTCAGCGAACTAGACGTGAACCGGAAGACTCAATGGAACTCTCGACTTCTCAAAACCGCATGAAGCTCTCTGCCACTGTTTAGAGAGCGATATTTCGGATATTCGGAACCCGGGCAAGCCCTCGGAATTCCGAGCACGCATGATTGAGCTCCTTGTTTTGCGAAGCAGCGGATGCCAGTCGTCCGCTCGAATGTTCCTGATTCGGCGGGACGAGGCTTTCCCAAGTCTAATAGAGCTGTAGTCTCCGTCAACATATATTAACGTCACTGTACCCGCTCGCGTATCTCATCTTCAACTGCATTCCACATATTCTCGGCGTCCCGATGAGTATCGGCACTACATGTGCTAGGAAACGAACGACAGTACATGTACAAGAATAACACTTGTAAGTGTGACAAGGGGAGTGATCGAAGGCTCAAAGGAGATATTTCGCTTGTGAGTTTGTCACGTTAAGGCTTATCGGTGGTGACAATCCAGTCGACAGCGGTTGACACTTGTCATTGAGAAAAGTCTTTTGGAGTACTGGCTTCCCATCTGATTGGAGGGTACGAACGCTGTTGTTGTCGATTTCGGGCAGGAGCCACGTTCGCCGATAAGCCGGCTTCAACTACACTCGTAGCATCACATAACACTGTTATCGGAACCATCACGCATGAGGTAGATACAGCACTATCAGTGTATTAGCGGAGCGTCAAACAGATTTATCCCCCCTTTGGAACAACCCGAAACGCATCAATCTCGGGCTCTCTTTTTCCATTCCTGGCTGTTTGCGAGTGTGTCCATCGTCGGCCTCCGCAAACACGAGGCCAAGGCGATTTAGGCTGAACTCTTTCGTCGTTTAACCACGTGAGAACAATATCGTCTTTCTTGGATGGAGTCTTCCCGAGATCTCCGGGAGTGTGGACGATGAAGTCTGATTCCCAATCAGTAGCGGTGAGTCATAGGCATCGGGAGCCACTCATGTACACATCGATTTGCACTCGGGATATGCACCCAAAATAATTAAATATTCCGTTTCTGTTCCCGCGTGTTGAACGCAAACGGCGTCTCCGACGGCGTCCCGTCCCGGGCTCCTGACGATCGCTCTCTGAGGTTGTCGTATGGAGCTCGGACACCGACGAGCGAATCACACAGAGCAGACAGATGAATCTCGGACGTATATACATACGTACCGTGTAATCGACAGATTCAGCTCGAGCGAATCAGCGGTCACGGGATGAAGGATCGGGATGTCGGCCCGAAATCTCCGATACAACATTTAAAAAGTCAATGAACGATTGACCGAAGGACTTTTCTCGAGCACACAGGCAAATAGAGCGAAACTCGCCGGGGGAAATTTCCCTTCAGCCATTGAACAGCAGGTCTCTCTCCACGCGATGACAGAGTTCACCGGCGGACAGCCGCGTGACGACGAGAAAGTATTCAAAGACGAATACGAATTCTGTGCTCTGCGGACAATGGTAGACAGGGCTGTTCACTTCTGCGGCATCTGCGATCTCTGCTTGTCGTTCCTGTTCAAACGACCAGCTTGAAACAGGCGACGCGCTGATCGAACAGAGCTTTGTGTTATAATATTTATATGACGTCACGCTGGATTCAGTTGCCAGAATGCTATTCTTCGACTGCGAGCTCATCTTCGAGCGGCTCTGTCTATTCGATTGCGTCTTTCGAGCTCGTTCATTCGTCCGCGGTGTTTTTTTGCCGCCACTCGCCTTGGAACGATCGCTCGAAGCGGTTCAGCACGAGACATTTAATTCGTCTATCTCCCCACCCTGAATGATCATATGATTTCATGCTCAGTCAGTTAAAGTCTCGATAGGAAAGCTCACTGGCAGAGTGTGCACATATTTCGAACGAGTTGTCGACATACGAGCGAATGGCGATATCGCAGTTCGCCGATTGGACTGGAAGCCCGATCAGATCCCCGTTCAGGCGAGAGTCTTCATCAAAACTATCGAGTCAACTCGCTTCAACGCACTTCTCCCACCGGAAATCGCTCTGACCCTGCCATCTAGTCGACGGTCCTTACAGACTCATCTCCGCGATAAGCTTCTGTAAAATCGGTCACAGCTCGCGCCAGTCGATAGTACACTTGAACCCAAGATATTCCCGATATCCGTCGATTACCCAAGGGGACACTCCCACAATGAACGATCATCGAGTTTCCGCTACGAGAACACTTTCTCGAAGAAACAGCCTGAGAGCGTCAAGGTCACCTAGGTCGTTTGACTAAACGGGGAACCGATCGTCGAAGAATTAAACACCTGTGATGCGGGCTACCAGCGGAAGCATCTTGAGACATTCAGGTGGACGGTCGGCTCTCCGACAAATCCACGCGAGCAGCGATCGTTCGAAAGTTGACGCTCGCGATAGATGATTCGCATCTATTGAGAATTATTCGTCACGTGTTCCACTCACCCGACGCTCGCAATTACAAGATGATCTGACAGCACTGCGGCGAAATTCTCTCAGCCGTTTTGACTTATGAATACGCCCGGTAGGGTCGACGCTACCGTTCACTCACTCCGAGCTGAGTCGCTCGGAATTGAGTTCTTTTAGACGGAACTTATCCTCCTGAGCTGCCGTATACACATACGATCGTCCATTGTCGCCGGTCTCATTTTTCCATCGAATACGAAAGTATTCAGGCTCATGATCCAACGGAGTAATCATAAACTAAGGAAGATCTGCTGGGACCTCGTCTCTGACTTACCGCGATAGAACGAAGGGCACTGCTTGTGTTTTCGCCATGAGGATCTCGAGAGCGACTCCGAAGATTCTGTGGATTTCATTCGGATTCGAAGATTTCCGGCGAGCCGTCAACGGAGAACTGAGCAGTTTGCGTACTCGTTCCAGGCGAGTCTCGCAGACTGCGATCTCCGGACAACTCCCTCCATTAGAACTCGGAGATATGCCTTGTGCTTGTTGTTGTTGAGGAGGGTTGAGTTGTTGTGGCAAATGTTGTTGGGTTGGAGCCGGGCCCAAGATGGTAGAGGCCCCGAAGCTCCGCACCTTCATGACAGCGCGCGAAGCCACGGTGTGTCGCTTCTGTTTTCGTCCGAGAGATCGGGTGCGCTGTGTGCCAACAGCCCGGTCGGTCGCTCCGCGAAGGAGCGCCCAACAGCTGATCTGTCGTAATGCGGTGTTTGTTGTTGATACTCCGTTCTCGTCCTTTGGCTCGTTCGCTCCAAGCTAATGAGTCGAGGAAAAGTAATTGCTTCTTCTCACTCCTCAGACGACGATGAGGAATAATTGATCCAGATCCAAATAATATGGTATTCGCTTTCGTTTTGGCGCTCGGAGAGAAGAATGGCTCTAGTAGGTTGTCAGCTGCCGGCCACGGGGGCAACTACGCATGCGACGTTTCCGGTGACGACGGCAGTTTTCGGGGAGGCTTGTACGACAAGATGAAAACACGAGAAACACACTTCCAGACGGCAGCTGCAGCGGCGCCAGGACCGTTGCAGCACTTGGCAGTCTTTCACAGGTGATGATGTTACAGCGGGACAGTTACATTGCAGCACCGTACACAAACTTGAACGTCTATGGCTGTTTGAGGAATCGACACGAGTACAGACGTAACTTGGAGAGCATCAATGCTCCCTGGAGTTGCTTGAGAACTGCAGGCTGACGCGTCGATCGTGCAGCACGGATTGATTCGCTCTTCGCCGGCTGCTGACACCACAACAAGCACCACTTCGACGACACGTTCCGAAGAGCTTGCTTGCCTCGGCCGGCCTCTCTGCTGCCGGCGGACCTTGTGTGCTGGAAGGGAAAGGGTCGTGAGAGAAGGTTCAGCACGGTTCTGCGAACGCTGTCCAAAATACTTCGATTTTGGCAACGCTCTACGAAGAGCAACGACGTTAGACCGCTCGCCGCAGAACCGGTCGGACCCGCGCCGCGGCTTCTCCGCGGCGAGGGAAGAGGAGGAAAAAGTGCATGATTTCATTTGTTGTTACTGTCCGAATAGGTACACAGAGTCCGAACGAAAACAACAGATGCCGCCGTCCCAAAGGGCAGGCGAGACCGGTTTAAATTTAGAGATAGGAAGCACGGGAAGGCGCTCTTCGAGACCTTCTCCGGCGATAAATCGAAAGATTCTCCGTGTATCGGATGACCCGGCTGACTCAAGAGTGGGACGCAGAAGATCAGCTGATGAGTTGCCGAATCTTTCTTTTTCTTTCGGACACGCTGGATCGATATATTCACGGATACCTTTCATCGTCTAACTATTTCAAAACGCTCGGACACAGATCGCTGGTTGCAATCGCTCGTCCGTAGCGGGAACATCATGACCAGCAACCTCAATATTGCATATCGATACTGCTGTCTTGATTAGCATGAGCATGACGTCATTATCCATTCATATGCTATCGTTCGAAACGCGCCTCGAGACGGAGCATCACACATTCCGCCTTGGGGCCCGGTCGATTGTGTCATCCTCATTAGATGCATTTGACTCACACGCCCTCCCTATAACGCATGGGCGAATGCTTGTCAGAACGAAGCTTGAACTCCTCTGTTGCAATACACGAAAAATGATTTTTCGGAATTTCTATCCCACAAGAGCGCGCGCCGATCCCGGAGACGAACTCCGAATGGGACAGTTCCATCAGGCCAGCATTTCCAGAGGTACACAATACTGCTTTTCGGTTTCGATGGTTCTGCGATTTTTGCTCCTCCGAGATGAATTGTCACACCTTGCGGTTACGAGGAACAAACTGATTAATTCATTCAGGATGCACCCACGCTTCCTGGTGCGCAGGTTTTAGTTCGCCCTCGAGGCTGGATAGACGAAAGGCGACGGAACGAGACCTCGGATACAGTGTCTTGGGCCGCATGGAGGAGTTTTCGCTGACAATAGGTTCCCAGATCTCGATGTCCGCGAGGGCTAGGAACTATTTTTTCACTCCTACATTTGTCATCGATACGCAGCCCTATGGGGCAGGCTCTGCGAGAACGTCTTCCTGAGATGTCGCAGTCAATCTTCCTTGACAACTGATCTTCGACCCATCATGAATCACTATTAGGTGTTGTGAATTGTCGAAAGGGAAAACATGAGGGCGACATCATTCTGATCGATGAAGAACTGCTAATTCCGTCGAAGACACTGGAGAGTGCATCAGAGTCGAACTAGCTATCAGGTGATCAAGCGGAGGCCACAAGCTCACAGAAGCGAGCTAAAACCCGAGGCAGCATGAATTTCCCGCTCGAACCGAAAACTGAATCCGGAAATTTTGAGTTTCTCTCCATACGTGACTTTGTCCGAGTCCCGATGATCGATTACGAATTGGGATAATCTATCACATCGAATCTGAGGATGCTCCCCGGGAGTTACAGCCTCCTCCGCCAGCAAAATGATCGGAATTTCGGAAGGAAGGGCGAACTTACAGTCAGATGATCCAGCTCGAAACCCGCATGGAGCATAGGAGCAGCCGTATGACTGAGTGAGATTCGAATCCGTATCGTTTCATGGGACAATCCACAACGATTTTCCCGGTGAATCCTATAAATGTCCTCTCGACGAAATTGTTATAGGCGACTGTCGCGATCGCGTTTTCGGGAGGCGTTCGATCAATATGTCCAGAATTGGGTTTCGAATTTCCGCAGGCTCGGCTTTTCCAGACAATCGCTCGACGAACAGGCAGCTTCAGAGAGATCGACTTTCAAAGGCACGCTATTCGCATTCCGCAAAGGAGCTCACGGATCTTCGAAACACGACTCTTGTCACACAGGAACTCGGAATGATCGAAATTCGCTCTAGAGCTCCAACAACAGCTTACCGGGAGCCAGGCTGTCAACGAGCCTCATATTCCCGCGGGCCTGGGAGTCTCTTCCTTCGAAGACCCTGCCCACAGAGAGCCTTGCTGAGGGCAGGAGGAAATGATCTTCAAGAGTCAATCTTGAGTGATTGAGCTTAGAATCGATTTTTCAAGTAGTATCGCGATTGTCGATTCGTATATCAGCCACGATGATTCGTTGGAACTGAATTATATTGCGAATCGGCGCGATGTCAGATCAGCGCAAGGCGGCGCCTGGAGTCGGAGGGAGCCATCGTTTCTGCTTCGGATCCTAGAATATGTATGTATACATATGTCTTTAACGATAAGTCACGTAATTCGATGGAACCAGAGCTCATTTACACACAATCGGTGGTAGAGGACTGCCGGGCAATTGAAAAGTCCGCGTTTCGAGTTTCGTGTTTTATTTTACATTCATCCTCTTCAAACTTATTCATTGTAAACCCTAAAGTTCTGGCTCTCTCGAGTTGAATGTCACAACTCTCTGTTTGTCCCTTCGATTGGATAGCTAGCTACAAGAATGCCATTCCCATGCCGAATTGCAATCCGCTGTTGGTTCGATCGCTCCTTTGATGCCTGAGCGGCACTGCGTAATTTAGTTCGATTCTGACTTGGTGGCCGAGAGACAGAACGACGCCCAATCCAGCAGAGACGCTCGGGTCTTGCAGTTTCGCGCTGTCTACACCTTCGCTTAGCGATCCGGCAGTGACGAAACCGTGGAGTCGTAAGTATTCTCCTATATAGCCATGACCCCGACGGAATGGCAGCGGCGAATAGAGATGGCATCCCGTAGACCAGTAAGTCGTGCCCCCGAGACTGGCCCCCTCGCACTGTGGACCGACTCCTCGCAGCTTAAAACCTCGAAGACCGAGCGGACCTCCTAGGAAGAACTTGTCGCTGATATTGTGCTGTTCGTTCGGAGTCATGTGACCGGCATTCGCGGTCAGCTGGAGGACGAGGTCGTTGAACAAAGAGAAGTTCATCTGGTGCTCGAGTTCGTTCTTGACAAATCTTATATCGCCTCCCAGATTGTGTCCGGCGACCTCCGAGCAGACTCGAAGTGAAAACCCCTCAGTTGGCAGAACGGGATTATCTGTCGTGTCGATGGTCATGATGTGCTTCAATGCGGATTTCAACGAGTGGCCCATCTGCTCTCTGACAGGGAAAGGAACCGTGATGCCGAGGGGATTGAGCTCTCTCCAAACCCCTTCCCAACGCAACGAGTGGTCGATACTTGGCAATGATCGGAAACTGTATTCGGCGAGAACGCCTCTGATGCGCTCGCGGAACGCATTCCATGGATAATCCGCAGCTTCTTCGTACGCCGCCACCGTGAATCGGGAGTTTCGTTTACCCAAAAACGGCTTGCTGGCTGTGATGTTGAAACCGCTGGAATGCTTTGTCCCATACTGAACTTGGGCCTGGATGAATTCGCCCCGACCGCCGACATTTGGCAGCTGGGCCCCCATTACCATCGTACCCTCATTGTTGGCCACTAATCCGTTGACGCCACCGGATATTGTCTTTTTCTCCTCGACGTCAAAAATAACCTCATAGCCATGCTCCGTAGCTCCGGGAGACTTCGATGTCTGGATTTCAACATCGATCCTTTTGAAAGCTCCGAGTTGATCGAGTTGACGTCTTGCTTCTGCGCATTTTAGCAGGATCTGCGATTATTAGGAACTCCATTAGGAATAGAGCCAGTCATGAAAGGTTCGGATGTAATCTGGAGAGTATCTGCCACGGGACTCTCCGTACAGAACTCCCCGGAGAAAAACGTGACATCAGCCCGCTATACTTCCCGAAAAGCGAGTCACGAGAATACTGAACTCACTTCTGTGAACGTAGTGCAGTCCATCAAAGTTTGGACCGCTTTGGCGAGGACGTCGTTCTTCGTCCGCCCCACATTTTCGAAGTGGACCTTGTCCACCCGCGCGGGCTGGACCCCCGGAAAGAATTGATCTCCATCCATCGAGTCAGATCTCCGGCGTCGCGTTGCCTCGACCCTGGCAATCTCTGCGATCACTTCGTGAGGCTGTTGCCACTCCGCGAGACGGCACGGGGTTCTTCGCGCGAAAGAAACGTGGGGAACTACCAGTGCATTTGCTCCACAACCCGGCCTACATTGGAAGGTCAGCAAGCACTGGGTGCCGCCATCTTTGTTTTTCTCGACAGCGCCTTCTCCCTCCCCGCTATTCAAAAATCGCGAGGAGTCAAGCGCGCTTATTCGAAGAGCATAGAATCCGTGGAACACTCTGACAGCTCGAAGGGCAGGATGAGGAAGTCAAGAGGAGATGATCTGGTCTGAAGCATCAGAATGCCAGTCATCACTGGCGCCGGCAGCAGACGAGAGAAAGTCCCTAAGCCTAAGCAGAGGATCCTGAGGGGAGCGAAAGGTCGGACTCCGTTGATGGCATAGATGGATGTGTCGTAATAGTTGAGTCGGATGAACTTCAGAATTCGTTGAGGCGGATCCCAACACCGGATCGACTAAAGATGGCATGACACGACTCTCCGCGGGCTTGTGCTCATCGATGCGAGTGTCGAAGTCCCATGAAGAAACGCTGTCAAATTTGAGAACGCAGATAAATGTTTAGGGTTCCGGTTCTTGTTCCGATTCGGCATGATTTCAAGAAGAATCGAGGCTCGTCTCATCATGATATCTGGTCGAGGCAGCTAGTTGAGGCTTCTTCGATGCTTATTGGGCCGAAAGTTCATGGGCGACTGCGTAGTTGGAAATGAGTCCAGCGACTACTGCGCAGGAGACGCGAAAAACCCCATCTTCGGAAGAGGGATCTTGTTGTACTTCCCATCGTTTCGAAACTAGATGTGGAGGTTTCCAGCAGCAACACGCATCAGAGAGGCTTAATTATATACAGGGGCTCACGGGTCGCGTACCCCAGTTTAAAAGAACGCTTACGTGCCAACCCTCCTTTGCAATCATCCCTGAGCGGCTCTCCGTTAATGTTTCATCAGTACGTGAGATCTTTAGTGAGTTGTCAGACCAGCTCTCTGTAGAGATCGAGATTCCTCGGAAATAAATTGTACGATGAGCCCTCGTGTGGTCATTAGTCGGATGGAACCTTCTTTCCGTCACATCGAGCTCGTCGCGACCTCTCCTTTCCCAAATCGATGTCGCACTACTCCTCGAGCCGTGAGTCCAAGAAGTATCTAGCGGAGTTCGCGGTCGTACGGAGGGTCGATTCAGAAAATATCTGACTCGGCTAGGATCAAATCCGATAAGGGTGAGACGAACGCGAATGTAAGAATTCATTGTGGGTGCGTCGTGGGTGAATTCCGGTTTTCCGAACGTTTTTCCGAATTTCACGGGCTTCACTCGATGATTTGTTCTGGAATCTTTCCATAATAATTGGCGAATGGATTCTCCCTCTTTCGGGAACGGGAGACAGGACCCCTGATTTTGGGAATCCGAGTAGACTCTGGATCTGCGTAAGATGTGGGAGGGTTCGGAAATGAGGGAAAGATTCCAGAAGCTCGCGAGGCTCCAAGCCCAGGAGTAAGAATTGTCTTATCCGGAGAAAAATCTCTTCGTACGTTGAGGCAAGATCCCTCGCTCCAGGAGAAATATCTCCCCATATATCGGATCGTCGTTGACAACGTTTCAATTCTGCGCAGAATATGAAACATTGGCGGCATGGGACATGAATTCATGTATATGCGAGTGATTATACTAGGTGTGTCCAACGAGACGATGAATCGGTGCCCTAATCAATGGGAACGTCGACGCGTCAGACGTTCTGTCAAAATTCCAAACCTGACACCCCCATGACACGTAGATACATGGGAACGACGGCGACCTTGATCGGCACGATGCGTTCTTCCTAGGGATCATTTCCGTTCTAGGGGAGCCCCACGGAAATCACCCGACTTCAAAGGACAGCGCTACAGCGACGTGAGCCCAGCACTCGGGAATCTATTCCGGCATCCGTTGGGCAACTTCCCGTATAAGCATGGTTGAACTCGGTTCTCATGGAGTCCCACAGCCGGGGTAGATTGATTTTGGGATCTCCCATCATCGATGATGGAGGGATTCATTCTTCGGAGCTCGAAGTATTCCGAATATCGTCGGATCTCCGATCGGTGCGCCTGGTCCAAAATCAGAACCCGAAAATATATTTATAATAGAGAGAGACTTGACGCGACATATTCAACACACATCCCAGTGTTCCGTCGACATGTACTCATCCATTATGTCTGGCTGCTGATAATTTCAGGAGAACTGCTCGAGACACTCATTCCGATCTAATCCTCGGCCCGACCGGAATTCTTGGTCTGGATCTCGGATATGAGAGACTTGACTTGGCAGGATCGCAAGTCAAAGGGGCACTCGGGCGAAGAATCGAATCGCAGTGAGGGCATATGAGCCCGATGATTCAAAATGAAATTATCGGATCGACTCCTTGAATCGCTCCCATCTTCAGGGAGAGGGGCATTCTCGACGCGGATCTCGGTATCGAGATCGTAATTATTACTAAGACCGAAACCGCGAGTGATGCGTAGTTAGGTTCCCCCTAACAAGTCTATCTGCTATTGCCCTCTTATCGGAACATCAAGAACTGCCGCGGTTTTTCGACATAATGTCCGCCGGGCTTTCGATACGGTCCCGCTGGACTGAATGTCGAATATTAACTCGGTGGACCTTTGTATCCTCGTCAGCAGGGCGAGAAAGTTCGTTGTAGGAGAACATTGCGCAAGCACCCGATGCTCGGCGTCGCGCATACGACCTTGCTCGCAATAGTGAGATCTGCCGAGAAGCCAAAGAGAATCTTTTCTCGTGATTCAAGCAGGGGTCTGTGCTCGGTTCTATATGGAAGAATCTACGTGGCCGTAGATCTGAGAATCTCTCCGAGCTACTGGTCTCCGATCCCGTTCAGATACATGGTCGTAAGTCAAGAGACGCATTCGTTGCCGGTTTGACAAGGGGCTAACTTACCGAACGGAGCTTCCCACAACCGATGAGTACGATCAGTTGATTCTCGGGAACAAGCGAAATCACAGCAGGCTTGAGCGTAGACCAACTGTCATGCTGTCGTTTGACGGTAAACACAACATGTGATCAAAAATAGCTGGCGCGTGCTCGTGCTCACAATCTGTGGGGCGAGCCATCGTAGTGAGCGCAGCTATCGAGGGTGAAGGCGGGGGGCTTGTAGCGCATGCGCTTTAGGTCATTGGGACCAGGGCCCACATCTGATCGGAGGCCACCCCGCGAGAAGATGGGGACAGGACCTTTCACTCACCTTTAAATCAATTGTTGAAAAGCTTACGGGTACATGCTTTTCCTCCAAGGCTCCCGCGACAAATCTCAGGAGCAACTGGAATTGTCGGATTCTGACGTCGACGTGAATCTCTGACTGTACCGCTGAACATGACGTCATTTTCCCAGCAGTGTATGAGGAAGAAGGGATTCCGAAACCGGGAGTTCCGGTCCGATCCCAGCTAGTCGAGACGAGTGATTTCAAATGGGGGAACAACGAGTTTTTTAGCCCGCTCTTAGATGCGTACGAAGTCGGAAGCGAGTGGATCTCACATTCAGGCGAAGCTCAGGGAGCGCGGTCAATGAACTTCGAGTACTCGTGGCCTAGTTTCGGGGAGCCTTGAGCCCTGGAGAGGGAAGATCAAACTCAAAACTCGGAGGTTACCGAACTGTCGGCGGCATCGGAGAGGTGGCGGTTTTGCGAAAAAGCGATATTACCCACTAGGATGCGGATACTAATTATGATACTGATTTGGAGAGAAACAGACCCCGGTGAGCTTCCGGATCGGCCTCAGGTTTCGAAGAGCGAAGGTCGCAGCAGCTCTTCTCCAAGGAGCTCCGGCTCCGGGAGTGAAAAAACCAGTCTCGTAAAGTAAAAGCGCGAAGGTTTCAATTGCGCGCCAACGGAGGCGGTTCGGTTCAATGAGAGACAATTATTGCAGTTTTCGGCGACGTTCATAGGTTGGATGCACGATTTCACCTCGGAGCGAGTCGACGCAGAAGCGGACCAGAAGCGAGTCGGGGCGCCGGAAAAATCAACAATCTTCTCGAATCAGGATCAGCGGTGATTTCGAGTTTCTAACTCCACGAGTTATGATGAATTCGTTTCGTCTCCTTGCCCAATTCAGAGGACAGGCTCACGAAGTTCAATTGACGCCTCCCCTCGATGCTCAACAGGATATTGCCTCGTCGATTGTAATATTTTTCTGCCTCTTGTAATCATTCCTCGCCTGGAGCTCTCCCGTCGTTTCGTTTGAAGCCATCCGAAGGAAGCGGAGATCGCGTATATCGACGGATACGTAAGAGCATGCATCGACAGATATGAGGTCCCGGAGCGAAGATTCGCATGCGTTGCGGATGCCCTCGAAACGTGCCCGGCTTGACCCGATTTCCATCACGGAAACCTTGACCCCGCACCTGGAACGTCTCGTGATAAGTGACGAGACTTCGGGCTGAACGCCGACTCGGAGCGGTAAGTCGTACTACACTCTGAACCGCTGAACGCTCCTCGCCCACAAGTGAAAACTGCCCGATAATTTTCATTTGAAATTTATTAAATCCACCGTTTACGCATTCTCTCATGGGATTTCGAGAACTTCTCATATAGCGACGAAAATTGATCATACAAGGTATATGTTCCAGCCAGTGTGGAAATGGCTTCGATCGTTTTCTGCATCTGACACAGAATGTATGTATACAACCATTCACTCTCACGCCAGAAGAAAGCGGTTATATACAAGGCGGACTACTTCCCATTACTATTTCCTCAAGCAGGAGCCCGCTCGAGGACGGTCGAAGTCTGCGTCTTCTAGTCGTCATGTCCAGAAGATTATATCCATTGTCACAGAGTTATGGCTAATCAGGTCATTGAATTTGCAAAAGTTCGTTCCGCTCGAAGATCTCGATCCATAATAATCAAAGTCGTGTTCATCTTCGAAATGACGTTTTCGCTTTATCGATGCGGAGGAAGATAAATACGCTGTCTAGCAGTACGGAGCGACATTTCCCGATCGAACGGAGTAACAAAATGCTCGGTAGGAGAAAAATTTTAATTGTATGTTCGTGGGAAAAAATGGACCAAGCAGAATCAATATCGTTACCTAGAAAACGAAGGAAAACTCCACGATTCTCATTTTGATTCATGAACTCAGCATATGATCAATCACACAATCAGTCAAACACTCAAAAACTCAAACGATCGTCTCATCGATCAACACCGACTAAACGCGGCTCAGAGGCGGTGCGATGGTCGTTATCGCTTCTCCAGGCCGAACTCGAGGCGAGGAGCGGGAAATCCGCCACCCCGCGATCCGTGGAGGCGGAAGCTTACTTTGAGAAAATGCTACCGCTCTAATCGCTATCATACAAAGGCAACTGCTCTTGTGCCCACTCATGCTATCGACCACAGCATTCGATCATGCATACATCGACGCACAACGAGACCGCCTGTTTCCGTGACAGAACAAACAAGCTATCTATGCGGAACGGGTCTGAGTGAGCATCTTCTTGAGTCAACCTTGCGTCATCTCTGATGCATCAAAAACTGGAACGAGCGGTTCCTCACACTGTCTCCATCACGGTCATCATATCTCAGAGTCAGGTTGCTCCGTCTCCGAACAGGAGCCTCTCACACCCAAAGTGACAATCTTCCTCCCGCTCGCTCGAAGTGCTCAGCAATGCTACGTACGCGATGTTTACATCTATAATGATGACTTTCGATTAGTCTCCTCACGACATCCTCCTCACAGTTCTCATCATCACATCCGTAGTGGATCCTCACTCGCGAGGAACCGTCCATCTTTTTTTTTTCGCTTTTTCTCTGTTTTCCTACAAATCTCAGCGGCTCACTCACATTTTTGATTCTGCCTATGCTCCTCACTCCGACCATCCCTACCGACCGGGAATTGAAGGGACGGGGCTGCCGATAATCACGTCGCTGCTCTGTGTTGTGATCATCCCCATCGGGGGTTCCAAAATATCATTGATCGGCTGGACGGGTCTCAGCCAATCGTAAGCAGGTGTCGTAGAATCCTCAACGAGAAGGAGAGAGTAAAATACTCGAGATACCTCCCGCTCTACCCTGATCTGTGGTTTCCTATAGCATCTCAACTCTCACGTCAACACTTGTTCGCCCCCTCGGGAGCTTTGTCACTCAAGCCCTTCCGGGAGGTCTGCGACTCACCGGCTGTCGCCAATGCCAGCTCGCATTACTCAGCTCCGTGAGTGTTCACTCTCTACTAGTGATGAACAGAGGGAAGAGTCTCTGAGGAGTCCCCACGGCGAAGAAGCTATGCGGATTTTTTTTAATGAAGTTTATAATGAGTCAGGGATCGATCGGGTCGGAAGACCGAAAGAATGCCACAATCCAGTTATATGCATTACACTCCGGAAGGGAATCTAGCTCGAACTGTACAATAGGATCGATCGGTAATTCTTTTTTTTGTATTTTTCTCCACTACTTCTCTCCGCTTTTTCCTACCTATCCGGTTGTTCACCTGCGTTCATCGGTTCAAACATTTTAACATTCGATAAAATCGCAATTCGAAAATTCCTCAAATGTACACCTACCATCCAACCGACTTCGAAGCCTTCACACACACCTTCGATGAGGAGGTCACACGTGTTCTACGCATTCCAAAATATCCACACCTGTGTTCTTATGTAAGTTTTGATGTAAGGGTTGGTAGGCTTGTTTCGCTCTCGAATACGCTGCAAGCTTCCAGAGGGGGTTTCTCAGCCAATGCTGACCCTGCAGGTCGCAGATTTCGAATGTAACAACGCGATAATCGTATAATGTATGAATGGATGTATTTCTGTATGCATGTATGTATGGTACAAAGACTGATATATACAACATGAAATGAGTCGTGCGATCGACTCCTGCTGATGCGCTACTAACATTCAATAAAATAAGAGGTGATCGTCGATTTGACGATGGAGATCCGCGGCTGGTCTCTCTGCCCTCGTTCCATCAGACGGGCTAGATCGACGTAGCCGGCGAGGAGACTGGTGAAGCCGGAGAAGGGCTAACCGGGTTCGGGGGAGGAGGGATTGCTTGCGACTGGGCAGCAGAGATCGCCGCTCGGAGGACTTGACGACGCTCCTGTTCCCGTTTGGCGGCTCCCTGTCTGTCCCAAGGATGTACTTTTACCCGGAAAAACCTCGTTCCCACGGGCACCTTGTACCGATTGGTTCCCTGAAATCGAACACCGGGACGCGATACGTTAGCTGACGCTGGAAGGAGAATTCGATCGGGTTCTCTGCGGCGGTGAGCAACATATATGAGCTACAAATAGTCACTCACCCTCCTTGCCTCGCAATATTCACGCTCCACAACTTCGCCGATAATCCAACTCCGAGTGACCTTCTCCCGCACCGTGCTCAGTCCCATTATATCGAGTGAATCCTTATGCAGGAAATGGAGCAGTGGGCCCAACATGAATATGACGTAGTTCTCGTAGTTGTCGTCATAGGTCAACAGAACCGTGTCACCCTTGCAACAGCTGAGAATCGACACGCGATCAGAGCTGATAGGCGAAACGTATCCGAAACCACAAGTGAGCGCTAATTGAATCTGCAATTTCTGAATTTCGATTTCCTTGGCGTGGATCTGCTCGATGATTTCCCGCGCCAACGAGTCGGTGTTCGCGTTCGGCGACTGCAGGCGGAATGTCGAATCCATCATCGACTGGCCGAAGGTGCTTTCCGACATTATGCGGTACTGAGACTCGAGCATGGATTGAGCCATGGGTCCTACAGCGGATGCGGGAGCGCTCTCCGTCTCCATGGACGTCTCGACCGCTGGAGCGTCTGGAAAAAGCGGGGGAACCCGTGAATTGGATCGTCGGTTCCGAAATGACGTTCGACTGGGAGGCCCGGAACACCGGAACCGGGAGAAGGTTTCGATAGAGATCGGAGATGCCTACCGTTCCTGTCCTCAAGAGCCTGTTCCAAGGCGGTTATCTTCTCGAGGAGCTCGAGCTCTCGCTGCCTCCAGCGGGCCTCGATCTCCTGGGAAGGCGAAGCTGGCGGTGGTGGACTCGCGCCACTATCAGATATGACGCTCGCGGTGAGTCGATAACGGCATCGGAGGCTCTCGACATCGCTCTTGTGCTGACGTTCCAGTTCTTCGCGGACGGCCAGCTCCCGTCTTTGGTATTCTTCGTTCACTAGGGCGAGACGCTGCTCGAACTCTGCCTGCATGCGTTCAATCTGCATTTGATGCTCGTCGCGGTCGCGCTGCAGCATACAGATTTCGTTCTGAGCTTCGTTCAACCGCGCTTCGAATTCCTTGACGACTTGACAGCTTTTGGACTGCAGCTGCTCGAGATCCAGTTCATGTTGTAGTTCGAGCTTGGTGATGCTGCTCCGGAAATCTGCATCTCGGATGCGCATTTCGGTCTCCGACTGCTCGACGACCTCTTTCATTTGACGCAGCTGGTCGTAGTAGATTTCGATTTCGCTGCGAAAGATAAACGATTTCCCATTAATACCCACGAATTTTCTCCGCTTACACTCCCACCGACATCCCCGGAATCTGGGTCGCTCTCGGCGCGTTTTCAAGTTCTCCCCACGTCTCTGATTACTTATCGTCGGGGCATTCTTACCTCTGCGCATCCTTGAGCTTGTGTTGCTCGATTTCAAGCTTGCCCATCAAGACCTCTTTCTCGTTCTGGAGGCCATTCACCAATTGCAGGAGCGACGCAGTGATCTCGTTTGCGTCTCCCATGATTTCGGCTTTCCAGCGGGCCACATCTTCAGCCAGCGTTGTGGCCTGAACGGCGAAGGCTCCGACCGAATTCTTAAGTCCTTCGACGGTTTTTTTCATTTTGGCTCGGTCTCCAGTCTCTTGCTCCGGCTTCGCCTCCGCGGCCGGACTTCTCTCCTGAAATGGGGCAACACTGTCTAGCATCTTCTGACGTCGGCTCCCGATTCACTCCGAATCAGGGAGGAGAAGTAAATAAGAGAGAACTCACCTCAAGGTTTGCGTTATTGCTGTTGTCAGTGACGTAACCAGGGTCCACGGGGCTATTCGCCAGATTCGTTTCGAAAATACGAACTCCCTGATGGGAGACACTGTCGGATTCGGTCTTCTTCGAGATGTCGGAGGACGTGTGGCTCTCTAGGTCCATGAAGGACAGCGACGGTACCGAGCCGCTTGCTTCGAGTAAATTTATCAGGTCGGCTGGGACACTCTTCTTGAGGGAGTCGACATCCGCGATCTCGACGCCCGGAAGACGATCGTCGAAAACTTTTGGATTCTTCGTCGCAAACGGCGGGGGCATGTCTTCGAGACCGGGGAAGAGCGATCGTAGGAAATGACTACGAATTTGGAGGTTGTAGCTCCGACGTTGATCTACCTCTTGTCGGTAGACGTCCGTACAGTGCGCCGATATTTGGCCAGCCCATTTGAGGAAAAGATTCGAATATTGCTTCCGGCGAACGACTTCAGCCACCGACCGAGCGTACACTTGGGGAGCTGAGTGGATCTGCTCGATTTTCGACATGTCCGAAGCAAGATTGACGATTTTCTGCTCGTACGCGGCCAGCGTAACCGACAGTTCCGCAATGAGATTTTCGTTCCGGGTGATGAAGTAGAGACGGACCTTGAGGTTTTCCGATAGCTCTTCTTTAGCGTGAGTGCATCGCCGCGCAATATCCCGAAGACTCAGGTATTTCTCGTGCATCGACGTAAGATCGCGTCCGTTCATCGCAGAGAGCTCTGGAATAACTTGGGGTCTCTCGAGTTCTTTCAACTTCGAAGCCCTCGTATATAGGGACTGGAAGTGTTGGAATAACGCGTCCTGATCCGCAACCACTTGCTCGGCTTTCTGTTGCAACTCTTCGAGACCGCTCAAACGTTTTTCGAGACCTGCGCGACGGAACGATGAACGGTCGTTAGGCATCGAATGAATTTACTCAAAGTTCGACTGGTTCCGGCTCCGCTTCCGCTGATACGGACGGAACGCCTCGATGGGTGTCCCAGCTACACTTACCTCGTATCTGCTTGAACTGTGGCTTCTCGACTCGAGAAACTAGCTCATCGACCTGGTTCCGCACTTGAGCAAGCATTTCCGGGTTGATGTGCTGCAATCCTTTCTTACAACGCTCCGCTAAACCATCGAGTGACGCATTAGGATCCGAGCGAAGCACGTAGTCCAGCAAGGTGGCCGGAGATTCTGGAAGGAAGAAAAGACGCCCTGAGACCTCAATCGCTAGCCTCTCCGATCAACGCTTCGGCTCATCGGTTCCCCGTTTCCGGCTGCATCGGACCAGAAGCCTACGAAATGAACCGCTTGGTCACGCCGGAGCTCCGACCCAGGACGGCGGAGGAACGTTGTATCTTACCCTGAGACGTGGAGTTCGGGCTCTGGTTCTCGGCCATAATTTGGGTGAGCTTGTCGAGTAGAGGAACCTGGGACAGCATTTTGCTGTCCTCTGGAAAAGCCTCCAGCATCGATCGGAAGTGGGACTGACGGTTCAGAAAGCTCCCGAAAGATGTTGTGAAACGATTTGCTTTATATTTGAAAGCCTCCATGGCATCCTCAAGGTTCGCAATCACCGCAGACCACGCCTGGAATTGCGGGAAGCATCCCGTCAGACTCGGAACTACCACCGGCCTTCGGTGCAACAAGGCAGCTCGAATTTGAAAAATGAATCTGTCGGAAATTCCGCTCTAGAATCACCTGTTGCTGGAGATGCTGCTCGTGAATGCGCTCTTTGCACAGTTTCGCCTCCTCCTGGGATAGTTGTAGGAATTCCTGGGCGAGAGAAGTGCGAGCTCTCAAGGTATTCATGGAAGGTTCTTGATTGCATACCATCTCTAATTTCCTGCGTATCTGTAAATCTGGAGGACAGGCGAAAGCGTCAGCAATCGAGAAGGGGCCCTTTTTCTTCAATTTCAGCTTCCCTATGACACCATGGGAGTCAATTTCTTCTTCGGAATACGAGGATCACCTAATTTATCGCTGTGAGGATTGTGGCGTTTGATCTCCGGTGTGGTCGGATCAGGAGCTTCGTGTAATTTCTTGTTGAAAAGAAAGATGGGGTTCGTATCCGTGCCAGAACCGTAGGACGATACCGCCGCCGCAGAGTTCAAGCATTCGCCTCCCGAAACCAGGAGAACCTGCTTGTCCACGGCGATACTCTGGGTTTGCTCGATGACTTCCTTCAACTGGCCCACGCTGCAAGTACGGTCGGTGGATTAGGGGAAAAATATGGTTTCACAATCGGGCTCTTGGGGATCCTTCCAAGAAGGATCATGCGGCGATATTTCGGGAAACCGGCTCATCGGATCGGTATCAGTGCTCAGAATCGATACGGATTGCACGCTGATACCACAGGCCGCTCCGCACTACGGCTTCGGTAAGAGAAGCACAAGGAGAGAATATGCGCATCGCAGCCAGCATTGGGACTGATCAAACAACCTTCACGCTTGGCAGTGGCCAGAAAAATCGCACTTTCTGTTGCCAACTTCACCGCTTCTCGCGGTAGACGCCGAGGAATCTTGGTCAAAAGAAAACAAAGTCTGCAACTTTCGCTCGCCACCTATTCCCGTTCTAAATTCTGAAATTCTCCGTCAACAGTACTCCACATCGAACTTACCTTTCGCAAGCGTAGTCCATGTCGAAGGTGAGCATGTTGCCCGGTTCGACGCTGAATATGTACAGCATGTTCGCGGTGCTTCGAGCTGCAAATTTTAGGGGGGAATAATTAGTGAGGGCTTAGGAGACGAGCCCGAAGCGAGCTTCAGCTCGGCCGATGGCTCCAACCACTGAAAGCAAAAGGACACCAGGAGGGGGAATTCTAAAATCAGCTGATCGAGCGAACAAGCTCCCTCCCACCCTCTTCCCAGAAAAATGATCTTCCGGTGCGGTACGCGCCGGAGATGAGCGGACATCAGAGCGAGTTCGGTCCGTATCAAGATTAGGGCACGAGTGCTCTGAATTCTCGGGGAACCCCTCTGGGAATCGCAGCATATCCAAGCGGGACGACCGTCATTCTCGAATTTTCATCGGACTGCTGGAAGCTTGAATTCGCGTTTCGTAGTCTCTAGTTGAATTTCTTCCTCTCGTCCTCCCAGTGGACAAAATCCAGATCAGACGGACTGGCGCATCAAAAGCTTCAGAGAATTTCTCCAACGGCATGAAAGAGTAATTACACTCACCAAGGCCGCCGAGAAAGTCCCGCGCGAGACCGGAGCCAAGCCCGTTTTCTGGGTCGCCCACAATGCTCTCGTTCCGAGCGGAGCGGTCTCTTTTTCTACACTCTTGCGCGGTTCTTAAAGATATTCGAGACCTACTCGTATCAGATCTCCGAGATCAAAGCTGAGCGGGCACCATGGAAGCAGATGCACGTCACCTCGATTGTCAGAACACTGCTGCACCTGACAAGTTGCCACATGCGGCATCACATCCGAGCGAGTTCTGTCCGGTGCCGATTCATATACCAAAAAAGTACCAGTATGCATACGGAGTCTCTGGCTCGATCTCGGAAGGAGCTGACGCAACCGATTCGAAAGTGCGCGCGGGACACGTTAGCAACTCGACGTAATTTGTCTCACAACAATCTACGACTTACTCTCCAAGGAGCGTCATCCGGTAGTGACGGAGTAAACTCGCCAGCATGGCAGCCCAAGCCACAGAGCACAGGTGACATCATTGCTAGATTAGTTCGAGGTACTATTTGGCACACTTTGCGAGTCGTATACAAAGAAATCGCGCGGTATGCTCTCGGGCTGCTGAGAACTCAGTCCGGGATCCCTTGGTCGAGAAAGAAGAACAGGGAAAAGCAGCTCAGACCGCATGTTTCGAGGTTTGGCCGGTCCAATATTATTCAAGCCCTTCGAGAGTACGAATCGAGGGACGTCACACAGACCCCGATCCCATTCCCGTCCTTCGAGTCTGGATCGGCGTCTTGTCCATGGACGCCATGGGTTCTTCGAACAACTCGAAGCTGCACGCTCCGCTCACCGCCTCATTCGCCGACGAATCAGGAACCCGTGTAGGGCAATGCAGCGTCGAAGACTAGCCCCCCCCCCATCTAATATCTGGAAGCGTTCCACCAGGAAAGCAGCCGTTTTCCGCCGTACGATCGTTTCTGACCCCCGATGAATTGGAGAGGATGACCCGTACGGAAAACACGTTTCCACTGACACATTCTAGGTCGTCGGCGGTAAGTTTCCGCTGCTAAATCTGGATCACCTTGTTTGATGCTCCGATTATTCTGCATTCGCGAGCATTTCTGTTTTCGGGATCATCATCCGCTGCCGGGGAGAAACAATCGAAGGAAAAGTCGGAGTAGCTCTCGCATTCGCGCTCGCGTACTCCGAGGTATTGGGGTACGAAAGCGTACTGCCAGGTTTGATTCAATTCGGCATTCTACGCGAAGTCCGAGAACCTTGACAAACTGAATGTACATATGTACATCTGTCCCGATAGCCCCCGCATCGGAAATGATGTCGGTTAGGTATGGAACGAGAAATGATTAGATGAGAAAAGACCGACTGTTTCAACAGAGATCGGCGGAATCTTCAGATACGCTGGTGTATCTGCCTGTTTTCGCACGATCTTTCCCATGAACAGACGACGCAATCGTTTCAGTCGGAGGAATCGCGCTGACGCGGTTAGAGGCGCGCAGGGTGACTGGTTGCTTGCTTGGTTGGCTGACTGATCGAGCAGCCGGTCGGTCGGTCGGCCGGCCGGCCGGCCAGTCGGCAGGTTCGCTGGATGGACTCTTGAGGAAATCATTGTGAGCAACTCGATCGTTAAAGTCGATGCTCCCCGTTTCATCCCACCATTAACCTTGTTCCATTGACATCCGCGTCAGGGCGACGACCAAGCTTCGTAGAAGCATGGAACAATTTCTATTTCGTCTGAGGAGCGCTCTCTGCGCTCTCCGATCGAATTTCGTGAAGTTCGTCCCTGATATCCAACCCATCAACCCGGAAAGATCGTGATCGGCGACTGAGATAAGAGGGTTTCGACGAGTTTACGATTTACAAAAATAGCCATGAGCAAAGGTAAAAAGGTCCACGGTCTTTTCCTCGTTTGGCGTCTTGCTCGTGCTAGTCATTGTGCTTACTACGATAGATAGCGACCGGTACGGGCTGAGTCGAAATCCTAGCTGACCGGTGAACTTGGCGGTGATGCGTGCGCGTTAGAAGAAACTCTCGGATAGAGTCTTGGGAAGGAGACCGAATCAATCACCGATGCTCGAGGATAAGTCATATCTATTCTCATCGGCAATAGCTAACCCAGGTCCCGCGCCAGCAGGCGGACAATCGGATACGCGAGCCGCTCCGACGGCCGACGAAATCGCTCTTCTCGAGTGCACTGGCTGAGCGTATCAGCGTCGCGGGAAGCTCGTCGGGCGACTCTCCGAGCTCGTATCGAATGCGCCGACGCTCCCACCCACGACAAAATTAGAAAGTTCCGTTATGGCGTATGCGGGTGAATACGCCAAACGACGGAGCTTCATGTACTGACCGTACGGGACGAGCGAACGCAGCAGCTGTCACACTCCAAAAGCCGCAATATTCGCTCGTTCGCTCCGCCCGCCAGTCAGTCAGTCAGTAGAGCGACCCGGAATACAGTTCGTCGAACTGCCGAATCATCCTCTGATACTTGGCATCCTTGCGAGGTGCTGTGATCGGATGAGCATGCGGTCACGACGTATTTTGAGGAAACATGAGTCAGACATGAAATTGGTACGCAATTTTTGTCCGGACAGATCTTCTCCGAGACAGAGCCGTCCAGCCATTGGGAGACCGAAACACTCAGCGGCACAGGAGGAACAACTTCAACGGTTTCACGGAATCTCTCTATTCCCCATTGAGGCGGATCCTGAGCCACTCGAAGATTTTTTCTCGGACAAATATTCTCGGCGTCCCGACGAGCTATACATGATTCGCATGGAAGCGCCTGGCCAACTCGAGAATCATATCTTCTTCCTGTGTCGCTGTTCCGAGCTCAGCCCACCTGAACACGATGCGATAGCCGATAGATAGAATTCAACTTGTGAGGTCATCCCCACATTCTCCCGGCAACAAAGACGGAGACAATAACAGCGTAATCGAGAAATCATAGAGTGCGTCGAATGATGAGAAAATTTTCAAAAACCCGAAACCAAAACATGGATGGGATTCCGTGGGCTTGCTTCTAAGCTGTTCGGCGTGACAATAGAAGCCAAACAATATTTTGGGCTCACATTCAAGAAAGACCCGCCGTTGTACTAATGCAAGCCCAGCCGAGCATCATCAGAACTCAGCTGACCAACGGTCACAACACCAGCTGCAACGGCACCAGGCATCGTTCGGGATGTCTCTCTCCGATGGCGACTCTGGCTTTCGCTCGAAGGCCAAGATCAAGGGGCGATAGCCTGCCGCCAGGTCGCCGAGCAGATTTCGGAGACCGCTCCAATCGATCGTAAGCCAAGCGCAGCGTTTCCTGTTCGTCCCATAAACTTCCTAATCACAAGGTAGCAACAATGACCGTCTGACCGAAGGCGTTGCCGTCCCGAGACTTCATCTTACCAGTAGCTGCAAATTCGATCCGCACATACAACCGCACGCTCACTGAACACAACAGCACACGCACGTGCGTATGAGCGAGGACGCTGCGGAACCCGCAGCGTCGACTCGAGCGTTGAGCTCTCTCGATTGGTTGGTCTAGGAAACCTCATCCCGTCTACGCTTTGCTCTCGCGTCTACGCGAGCCTGACGGAACGAAATCGCATCCGATCCGCACAGCGGGTTACGATGATCTACATTTCGGTGAGAAGTCTTTTTTCAACGGGAGGACGGTCGCTCGGTCACTAGTTCGCAGTAGTCCAAGCGACTGACACAGCAGTCAGCTCACTCGACTACGCCTCGCCCTTGGCAACAACGATTCGGGAGCTTGTCCTGCCGCCCGAATACGTAGAATCCGATTCAAAGCTCAGCTAGGAACAATTCTCAGTGCGATACTCGCGTTCGATGGCGCATCTTTCCCATAAGCCTTTACCTGGAGGGGCAGAGCACACAGCTGATCAAGTGGCGACTACGCGTTTCCTTGGGGGGATGTTGGACGAGCTGAACATCCAGCTCGGCTGCCTCTGTACATCGTAGACGCACGATCGGGTGTTGTTGGACGGCAACTTAACAAGTTTGAGTCTTCATTCGACTCGAATGCGCATCATGTCCAACGCCAACTGAGGCTTCACGACTAACCAAGCTGCAGCACCACCAATGTTTTATACATTTGTTATGGGACACACTTCAACTTCTTCACGTCGCACAAGCCTCTTTCGAGGGTCGGGCTTGTTGTGACCCGATGCCGAGAGGAGGAAGAAAGCCCGCCAATTTCAAAAGCGTTCGATCCGCTACGGCGCTCTGTTTACCTCTCTGTTGGCTCTTGTCGTCGAGGCACCACACCGCGCAGTCTACTGTGAGCCGGGACGGAATACAGGAGCATCATCCATCTAGTTCGTGCGATTACGAGGAGCTCTCCAGAATATCGAAGAAAGTTTGAATTTTCGTGCTAGCTCGGAAGCGATGCTGGTAACGGCTCCCTGAACTGAACTTTCGCTCAGCTGTGATCTCCCGGTCTGTTTCGACACTACCGCTAGAAGTAGGTGTGATCCTCGCTACGGAAAAATGCTGGCTCGCTCCTCTGCGATGTACACCCGCAGTATGTCGACGAATCCCTCACACAGATATATTCAGAGAGTCAAAGACTCGTTTCAATGGACTTTCGTTCACAGCTCGGTAAATCAAGTCCCCTATGACCTCTATGCCGATACCAGGATTCGAAGTTCCACATTGTTCCTCGGTTCTGAAGAGTTCTCTCAGTCAGTTCCTCTTCTTTCAGCAAGCAGAGCGTGGTGGAGACGCGCTGTACGAGGCTGCAGTCGATAAAGTTGATCACGCGCTCTGGTTCAAGCGTGAGTAGCGTGGAGAATCGTGAGCGGCGAACTCCCCCTGAAGCTCTAAACGGTGCTCTGGAGGCAGGCAGTCCGCCTGGCCTCGCTCGAGGATTCTCATCCATGACAAGATCCCTTCTCAAACCATTACAGGTTTCGCTCTCCCGGACACGTTCGTCTCGTGGTTCGCAATAACCGAGCTACATGCGTGGTGAGTACGGCATTCAGGCCTATTGCCGCGCTTGGAAGAAGGCCCGGGAGAACATTCGCGCGAATCGCGGCTCGAATTCTTAGGCGCTCAATCTTTGCAGGATGTGCGCTCAAAGAGTCATGGACGATGGTTTCAGCCGTCGCGGTCAAGGCGCTCGGGATAACTTGATCAAGAATATGTGGACGGATTGTGAAACGCGAATGAAAAAGCTCGGGGTGAGTAGATCTGCTCATTTCTCAGCCCCCAACAGAATCATCAGCCTCAGAGTCGTTTGACGCTGCTCCTACCAGAAGCTCTCGATTTCAGCCGATGGCGTCGAAGAAGCGACAAGATGGTCTGTTCGAACTAGCGGATCACTTCAAGCTCATGATGTTCGTCTACGATGAGGTAAGTCTTCATGAGATACGAGATCCTCAGGAAGGCCTCAACCGCCGCATATCGATTGTGACATTCTGTTTCTCAAAGAACTCTCTGAGTCTCATAACGCTGCCCCCAACAGGGTCTCAACAAAGATGACCAATTGCTGGCGGCTGCTCTGTGGCGAGGGTTGTTCCACCGAGACGAGAAATTCACGGAGTTTCACCATCTCCGGACTTTGGTGCATTACGTCAGGTCGAACGTCGATCATCTAGACAAGGTGCCAATCGGGAAACTATACGAGTTCGATGGTTTCACGTGGAAACCTCTGGAAGAGAGCATCAAAGCCACCTCAGGTGGAGCACTTAATCAAGTGACTTAATCTCCTAGGGAATAAATAGGTCGTGCTCGCTATGATTTTTTCCCTCCTCAATTTTACCCCACTCAGCTCCGATGGGAAAACTGCGGCGGATTGAGCGAACAGTGAGCTCAAAGTTTCGACCGATGCATGCCTGAATCGATGCTACCGCCGTGTCGATATTATTTGTCCGTATGGAGCACGAGTCTCTAGGATCAGATCACGGGATCTCGAAGGGAAGTTCCCCCTTCCCGGATCCTCTGAGATTACGCGTCGTGGGCATCTCTTGACTTGCGACAGATATTCGTGACGGAATTATGCGGTTCCCTAAGGTGCGGAATGCGAATGCCTCGAAAGCACGAGCAGCTCCGCCGTAGAACCCGTCGCTCGATCGGAAGGTCGAGGTGACGTGGTATATGCTCCGTGATGATTGAGTGGGCTGAAAGAGATCGTCGGCAAGATCAATTCCAGACCATCAAAACGATGGATAATGACTAATAACACTCCATGAGGACTCTTGAGCGACTTCCGCGAGGATACTGCCACGAGAATGGCCGCTGGCGCCCACTGAGTTCGTTATAATTTTAGTAGGTACTCGAAAGCGGCACCCGGCTTCTTCTCAAAGGACTACACGGTATGAAGGCCTTCGAGGAGGTCCTACAACAATGCCTTCGTCGAGCCTTGCCCTAGAAGGGCTCTTGATTCTACTGAACTCTGGCAGCTCAGCTTAGCGTGATAGTTTCGTAGGACCTACCGCGAGTACACCGAAGGGAGGAGGGATTGAGACTCCCACCACCATGGTATTCGTCGGGTAGCTGGAGTTTTGCTGTCGGACTGGTGAGATGATGTTTCCCGAAATGAGTTCTCGCACACGAACTCGCATGTCTAGTATCCTGAAGTCGCGACGTTGAACTCGGACTTGGGACGGGGATTTCCAAAAAAGACTGAAAATTCTGGACCCGCTCTCATCAAAATGTTTCCAATCTGCCTCGGCTCCGGGACTCGCGCCGGGCCGTCTTCACTCGATTCCCTTTGAAATGGAACAGCGTTCCCATATATAGGGTCTCGGATCGCACATACATATATGGAGGCGTACATATATACGTTCGAATGCTGTCTCACCCTGAGGCCCGTGCTGGATGGGATCACCTACATGGGAGCGCAGGTCAGGGACGAGGGCACGCAGGAGCTGCCCGGGGCGCAGCGAGACTCCGTTCAGATCTAGGTCGGACGCTTCCATTCAGAGATTCGGGAAGATCGGGAATCGTCCGGGGTAATAACTGGCAGAAACGTAACGTCGCCCTCATGGAGCCGGATCGCTTTCGAAACCGACCGGTGAGAATTTCCTCACCCCTTGATGGCAGGGTCGGGTCGTCGATGAGTCGTATTTCGTTTCAGCGAAGTCCCTACATCTGTCTCCGACGAGAATCGAGGAGCTCGTCCAGTGAACTCACAGGGAGCCCGTCCTACCCACTGTCCGATCTCTTGCGCGCAGTGGAAGGATGACGGGGAATCAATCGGATAAATATCTGATTTAGGAAGACAGAACAAGAGATGGATGTTCCCTCGGGAAACCTTGCCGCAGCCCAGTTCACCGTTCATCAAAACTCCTCGTCTGTGATTCAAACCTAAGACAAGTATCGGGAGAGAATGACTGAGCAGAGACGCAGATCGATTCCCTACAGAGACGAGCTAGGTAGGGTCGGGATGTTTGGGGGAAAGCAGTCTGGTCGAGCTACCCACATATCCGTAGCGGAACGCGGAAACCTGCAGAAAGAAACAGGATCTCCTCCCAGACCCTGGATCTAAAACCTAGGTCGCGGGGTCGCTCCCAGAATCGGAAGTCAAAGAGCCTCGGCTCATTCACTAGCCAGCATCAGTCGTACTTCATTAGAATTCCAATCCAAATCATAGCCTTCTCCATTTATTTCGTTAAGGCGTAGCCCAATCGAAGTCTCCAATTCGAAGTCCAGTTCCCCGGTCAGTGACCAGTGATAGGTGTATATAGATGTGCGATGCGAATTTACGCCCCAGGTTCCGTCAAGGACGGCCATAGTGCTGCACTTTGCGCTTCATGAAATCCTCGCCTGGCCATCAGACCGCTGGGAAGATTAGAGTTGCTCCTTTCGACGCGATTGCGACATGCATCGGCGAGGGTTGCGTGGCGCAAGGTTCGAATTGGAGTGGAAGCGACTTGAGATGAATGTCCGAAGCGGAAACCAACTCTTGCTAATCCACAATTGCTTTTCCGGTTGTTCCCCGGAAGGCGCTGGAGGCCCCGAGCACGTGATCGCTCGTTCTCGTCTTCCCGCAGACTTCTGACCGGTCAAACTCTTTCGGGAAACTTGTGTAATCCCGAGCTGAGAGCGCGAAGTGAAGTGTCAACCGAAAATATCTGATTATACTTCCCCTCACTCTTGGTTTCGCCATCCGCTAGGATGCTTCGACCAACCGACCCGTCATTGTCCGCGAAATCGGTATTTACCTAAACAGAATCACATCTGACGGAATATACCTATATTGAAAAGCATTCATAGAATCCGAGCTTCCACAAAAGACTTCCGTCGCTAAACGGTCGCTGTTGTTCGCGAACGACTGTCACAGAGCATTTAGTTATGCTCCTCAACGAAGCATGCTAATCTGTCCCACCGAATACCGCAGAGAGCGGACGGCATTGGAAGCCGACGCCGGCGACAACGCCGACGTAGGGATTACACACGAATACCGTTCTGAGCACTGAGCCGCTCCTTGTATTTGAGCGGAGGTCCGGCCGCTTCTGGGCGATCGATGAGAGTCGGATTCCTCGCATGATTCCGTACAGAAAATGGGAGGCATCCCGACCGATTTCAGATCGGGACTTGAAATTAGGATCGATGCCTCGAGTTATCATTCGAAGACTGACGGCTCGCTAGATGATGGACCCGAAGTCGAAGCGACTCTCCCACACCGATTAGATCCTCCTTACGGAGTCCCCGCCCGAGAGCGGGCACGAGCGCTGGAATATCATTGTGAACGGAGTTCTCCCACTCGCAAACTGTTCAAACAGAAAACCTCGACGGGTTCCGCCCACAAGCTGAGGAGTTTCACAATGACATTGGAAACGATGAGATCGCATGCTTGAGGGCGACCTTTCCGGAGAGCAGCTCAGTCGAGTTGTGTGAGCGACAGAAGCGAAACGAGATTCTCCCTTGGCGGATAAGGCTGGAGTGGCGGTGGATCTCCAAAGCTACCGGGAGAGTTTGTTTCCAAAACATGTTCCGTGCAGACGCAAGCGACGTAAAAGAGGATTCGATTCCATAGAGTTCCGGCGTACGAGCAACGTATTTTGTCGGATCTATTTCGTTCCGACCATTCCGATCTACTTACATTCTGAGCCCGGAGCTGACTTCATGCCCCTTCCCCCCTCCTCCCCCAAGAACGGAGAGTATGTATGATGAGCCGCCCCTGAGAGTCATAGGCGGGCATTTCCCAAGCTGAAATTTCGAGGTTCGGAGGGTTCGAGGGGGAAAACAGTCCAGCGTGGTATTCACGATTGGCATCGACTGCGTAATGAGCCGACGCGGCTCTTTCTATCCACGAAGGATCAGACGGGAAGATTAGAGCGGATATTTCTCAGCTGACACAAAGTGATGACGCCGGCTCTTCCGCCAAAACATGATATCGAGTGACATTGATGAGAGCTCCAGAGACCCGTCGAGAAAAAGCGACGGCGCGGCATGCTCCCGAACCTGTCCAGGTTGAATATACTATTGGAAATGTTCCGAGCGTGTCGATACCGGAGGAGCGAGGATCCAGAATCCAGAGAAACCCACCGGCGTAAATGATCCTGCAGTTGAGATTGCGCTCGAGCTCGCCAATCATTCCTTCGTGGAGTTCTGTGAACCGGTATACTATAATCGGAGCACTGGATGCAATATGATTACTGATATCTGACATCTCTTCATTTGCTTGCGCGCGAGGATCCTGAGGCTGGGTTTCGCGCTATCATGATTCCTCGTCGCGAGCAATTATCCCGCGTATGAGCGTTTACCCCGAAGGAGAAGTCCAAGCCGCGGCTCATGATGTTCACGCAAATGATGAGAAGAGAATGAGCGATTTCGCGACTGTTTATTTCCATTAACTTGCTGCTCTCCCTTTCGGCTATTTCTTTCCGAGACCATTTCGACAAATCTCGAGTAGATGAGCTCCGGAGTCGGCTCGCGGATCTCTGGGGAGCGTTCTATCCTTAAACGATTCACCTATATTTACGCAATGATCACCAATCCCATCGGGGAGCATGTCAATCCGATCTGGAAGCCCTTGCGATATCCTCGAGATCCTGGATCCTATTTTTCCGGAGCTCGCCTAACTATCATTCGAGTTCGAATCGAAGATTGTCCAAAGTATGTGATCGGAGATCACTCTCACAGAGCGAAACAAGACGACCCGAAAGAGATGTCACTTGAATACTCAAATCCTTGTCTGAGCCGAGGTACACTGGCCTTGCTGACGAAAACATATGTCGCCCACCCTTTCGTCATAAAGACCTTCGGTGTGTGGGCTAGAGAGGCCTTCCTGTTTTCTAAAGAGATTGGCGACTTCATCAAATCTCCCACGGGGAAAATAGGTCGGTAGGGCTCCTTCGACAACGGATCTCTCTGGAAGTCCAGTGAAGCAACGCACAAATAATCCAGCAGTCCCTCCGTGACGGCCTCCGTCTCGACGAACTCTTTTATAAGTGACGATCCCAAGCATTCTCTTCCCTACCATAGAATTATAATGAAAAAATACATCTGACAGATGCTCGAATCCTCATCCGTGTCAAAAGCCAGGTGTGGCTCCGGCAGCTGAAGGTGCTTGAGCTCCCTTAGTTGGTTCCGTGCCTAGTAGCTCGCGAAAATCGGGGCCTCGACCGCTTTGAGCCGCTGCTCCATGGATTCCGGGGACGAGGAGAATCAGGAGCCGCGTCTTCGAGTCCGAAGACCGACCATTCCAAACGCTTGGTATAAGTCCGCTACGGTCGATAGGGAAGAACGTCATGGTCCTAACCCTCCTTGTCGGTGTGCG